ATTTTATGACATTGAACGACAGACAATCAATTCATAATGATCAATATTTTTAATTGCTTTTAAGAAATCCTATTGAAATGATGATACAGCAGCTCTACTTAAAACATATTCAAACTCGTTAAATCCTCATACCTCACACTGTAAATGTATCACTTCACCATTCTCGGAAAATTATTAATCAAGAAATAATTTTTTATAACTTTATGTATCGATAGTTCATCATTATTAATTTGCAAAGTACAGAAAGCAAAAAAAAAGAGAATGCAAGGATTTTACACTCTTAATACTTTGAGTGAATGAATGCAAAATTATTAAAATTGCACAATTGTTATTATTGCACATTGTTTAAACATATCTATCTGCATATACACAAAAATTATTATATTGAAATCAACTTGAAAATCGTCAAATCTCAATGATACATCTCAATTCATTGCATCCTGTTAAATTGTAATTGTTGAATATTAATGAGTGATTTAATGAAGATGCCAAATGTGGTGTATAATAAAGAATATGTGGATATATTTGGATTGACCACTGAACTTCAAAATTTTCAATCATTGTGGTTTGTATAAAGTATTGCTTGTTTTTTAAGTATTTCGAAAACATTCTTTAAATTGTAAAGTTATAAATATATTTTTTAAGTTCCGAGTTTTCAGCAAGCATATCTGAATGTTCGCAATATAGCTATCATCATACATCAATTAAATGCACATCATTAAGCTTAAAATTAAGGCCGATGTATATTTAAATAAATTTTTCATTTTATGTTCTTGCAATTCTCGAGCTATATGTAGAAGCCTTTTGTTATGGACGTAATATTAATAATAATCATTTATGTTAAATGCTCATTCACATGCCACATGATTTTCTCATTTTCGTTTTCAATGATTCGTTTATGACTTGCGCACGCAATACAGACATGATGCCGGTAAATTGTTTTTTTTTGTTGTTGCTGTAAAATCATTATTGATGCTTGTCAGCCTATTAGCACTCTAAGCATTGATAATTAGATGCTGTGCGGTGGTCATCCACAAACCAAAAAATGTTTAATGATTTTTTATTGAAAATGATTTTTTACAATTCTTAAATCGAGATGCTTAAAACATTCAGGATATATTTAAACATTCGTTCGATTTATCAGAATTTCAAACAACTGATTGATTAACCTATCTAAAGATATTCAAAATAATCAAGAGTTTCAATAGTAGATATTCTCCCTCAATTAATTCGTTATACAATCTCGTTGTTGTCTTTTCAACATCAATTTCACTTTAATTTTCAAAATTAATCAATCACTTCTTGTTACAGCTTTAATAACATGATTTAAACTGAAACCAATTAACCAATTAATTACATCTCATTAAAAGTAAATAAATCAAATTAAAAATTTAACAAGATTTTTTCCAAGCACTAAGGTAGCTAACAATAGGAAAATACTTTACATTAAGCTGTAATTCATTTATGCTGTCTACAAGAGAATCAGGCAGTTTTTCTCGGTAGTAAATCAAATCTTAAATTAAGATAAAGAATTGCAAAAGCAGAAAATACTTTGTATGATTTAAAACCGTAAAGACATTTTGTTAATTGTTAAAAAGTTGCTCAATAATTCAACGTCACTACTGGTCATTACACAAGAATCTAAAAGTTTACAGACTGATTGAAATCAAAGGAATTTTTTAAAAACTTTTAACTGAAAAATCTTAAAAAAAAATCTTTTAAGCAGCATAATATAGAGAATGAATTATAAACCAGCAATGGCTTGTAAGTACTTTACGAAGAAGCTACCTAAGAGCCAGTTACATGCTTATCATAGAAATTGCTAAATTTTATAACTGTTGAAATTTTCTGCACGTATTCTTGCACTTACATGCAGTTGTCATAAGGGGCTGTTCACTTATTACGTAACGCGAAAAAATGACTTCTTAGACCCCCCCCCCCTCGTAACAAAATTTGTATGAAAAAAAAATTTCCTTGTTTGAACCGTAACAAAATCTTAGACCCCCCTCCCCCTAAAAGCGTTACGTAATAAGTGAATGGCCCCTAAGACTTATTACAAAAAGTATCAAGTACTTAGCGAAAAATTAAAATTTGTAGTAAGCAACATATTGATATGTAATTTATTGTAATCCATCAAATTACATAAGACATTGATATATAAATAAAATTCAAAAGGAAGAAAAACAAACAGAAAATTCGTGATAAAAAGAAAAACATTTCATCATCAACTGCAACTTTTACTTTCTTTTCACTTCAATCAAATTCATTTTTGCAATTCACTTGTCGACTGATTTCTTGTACAGTATCACTCTCACTCTCTACAAAAGATTAAAAAATTAGTATCGATTATCTTTGTATTTTTAATTTCAAGTATTATTTTAAATCTGCATTGAGATAATAAAAATATTTTTTTTTTTCAATTATCTTCTTTTACTGTATTTTTCAGCTCTTCTTTCATTTATTGATTCATTCATACATTCCTGTAAATAAAAATAATTTATTTACAATAATCAATAATGATGATGATATCGAAGAATGTAAATTTGATGCAATTTGCATAATTTGATTGATTTGTCATGGAAAATTGAATTTAAATCGAATAAGCATGTTTTGGATATTATGGTTGATACCACGACTCAAAATTTGTTATGGTAAATAAAAAATTATAATTTTGTAAACATGGATACATTTCAATAACTGAATTATTTTTAAGAAGAAGTCACTTCTGTTGCAGAAAGTTATGTATTAATTGAAGGTTGATGTAGCTGTCATATGAAGTCATCTTCTTCTGGAAAGTCATTTAATAAACGGTTGATAAGATTTACAAAATAGATTATTGGTTTTAAATAATTAAGAATAAGAACTATGTCTTACAATTAACATGAAAAATCTTCCCTGATTGACGATTTTCACGTCAATACTTCAGTTTGAATTAAATTTATCTTATAAATCCAAGCCACAAATTTGGCAACTTAAAATTCCGCTAATATATCATAAAATTTGATAAAATCACAACTGTTGCTTCAACTTAAATAACTTTCAACTTCATTGTGTGCTTAGAGTCACACATTAGCACGAAATGCAACTAGTTCGCGATCATTATAATGAAGAAGATGCACAAATTTATAAACTATTTTAACAATGGTGCAATAATTATTAAATAAAATGATGTTTTAATTGGAATCGACATGAATATTAGCAATTAGTTGATGTACTTTACCGAGTAGCATCTCACCAAGTGCATTAAATATTTTATGCATGTTTAATAAACAATTGAGCAATATTTGCTTATCATTTAATCACTTAAAAATGTTCATTGCCCTAATCTTAATACTTTTCTTTTTGTTCATGCATTATTAAGTAATTTAAAGATGAAGACGACTTCTATGGTAAGATACCTGTAAAGCTTCTTCATTTATGACAACAATGAATATTTTCTGCTCCAAAAGAAGTAGATTTAAATTTATTTTTTGCTTATGCTTCAAAGCTGAATGTCTTCTTTTTATTCCTAATAGTAGAAGAGATAAGTATGGTAAAGTATCATGCATACTAAAAAGAATATGAAAGAAGCAGAGAAGAGAATGAGAAGCTAATACAGACATTCAAATCTTAGTGTACGGCAATGCATTCTCTACATACATAGAGATCAATTTATCTCTCTAGATGCAATGTTTACCTCTCTTTCCGCCTAAAGTCGTGAACTGTAAGTCTCAGCTAAACTACAATTGAAGTGGTAAACACTTTTATTTTCAAAGCAATTGCTTAGTACCAAGAGACTTAGATTCCCTCTGCCAGTATAAAAGTGATGAACATTTTAAGATTATTCATCATTCAATTTGTTCAAATCATCCGGTAAAGTCATAGTTGAAATTGAAGTTTCTCAATTTGAGTGGATTAACTAAGAAACGTTACCAGATTCAAAGTGTTCAACGAATTTTTGTGGATTAGTACGAGGTACTGGCGTTAATCAAAATATTTGTGATCAATGTGATAAACTTCATTTCTGTCATTGGAATATTAAAAAAAAATCAATCCATGCTGTAAAAAGAAATCAAAAAGTTCACAAAAATACAGATGTGAAGATTTTTAAAAGCATTAAGGACCATTAAGAACAGTTTTAAATATATCATGTAGTTTTCGAGTTTAGTTATATTTTGAATTTTATAAATTAAGTGAAATCTAAGGATTATAAATTCAAGTGTTTGAAGATTTTCATTCAAGAATTATTGAATTGTGCTAGTATAAAAGTTATGAGAAAAAAAAAATCTTTTTTTGAAGTCTTACTCGTTTTAAAAAAAATTACTTTAGTGACTTGATAACTTGACAAACTATTTAAAAATATTCCTGTATTTCGATTCTTTTTGAAGTTAAGTTTGCGTTAGAATAATCTCTTGAAAAATCTTCAAGTATTTTCTCAGAAATCTCATTAAATCTCGATATTCATTGAAAAAACTAAGCTTTTTTAAGAAGATCTAAAAATGTCATGTGAATATTGTGGCAGTTTCATAATTGATATACATCAATCACGAGTGATCCTCACAAAAAACCAAAAAATAAAAATTGTGTGAATAAACAAATTAATGTTAATAGTGAGAAAATAAAATTATCCTCCAATAGTGTTGCATAAAGATATTAATGAAAAAATAATAATTTTAACGCAATGATAATAACAGCAATTTGTAGCAATATCACTTACTTCTTCATTTTCACTGTGAATATCCAATTAAAGTAGTTTTATCGAATGCAAATTAACTTTTTGATTTATGCATACAACTGATGTTCAAAAATGCTTAAAAAATTTCAGTTTTATGAGCCTTATATCCAAATTTTTTGCGTAGACCTCTAAATTCATCATTATCAATAAGACACAGCAAAAATTAAAATTGACTTTGTTGTTTTTTATTTCAACTCGACTTTATACAAAATTTTTGTCGAATTCGAGCTCTGCTACAATTCATATCAACAATTTTTTCTTATAGGTAAACTAGTTAGGAAAAAAGATGAAAATTTTCAGTATAGCAGTAAGTACAAAATAGTTGAAATTTCAAAAAAATGTGTGTAAAATAATCTTTTACTTTTTAATTGATAATAAAATAGGGAGCCTTTCTCCTGTACTTCGTCACTGTTGTACACTGTGAAGGTAAAAATAAATAAAATAAGAATAATAATTAAGAAATTAAGATTGACAAAAACATTTTTTTAAAGCTCCACTTCCGCAACGCAATTATTTACCTCCAAGCACAAGTTATGGAACACCTGATTTAGGAAATTTGGCATCAAGTGAGACACCATCACAAAGCTACGGAGACAACAAATCTACTAGCTATGATTTACCTGCTTCAGGTTAAAAACAATTCAATCTATTATAAAATCTAATCGAAACTCATGTTTTGAAATTTTAATTCTTAGGTATTCCCAGTACCGGTTCTTACGCCGAAGATGATTCAGTAACTATAAATGCTCCATCACAAGAATACGGACCACCAAAAAATGGTAAGTTTCCATTAAACGAGATCAAGAAATTTTAAAAGGCATAGATTTTAATTATTATAAATTCGGGTTTTTGAAATTATATATAAAATGTATATCCCACCACCAACATGTGTTTTGTTAAAAACATATTTTTAATTGACGGTGCAAATATGTTAATTTATAGGTAATGGTAATGGAGGTAATGGTTATTCAGCACCACAATCCACTGCACCTACCTCACAATACCCACAAAGAAACGGTTAGCTTTTTGAAAATTATATTTCATTCCTAAAATTTTGTGTATTGATTTTGGTTTTAAAACATAAAATAGGTAATGGAAATAATGGATATTCAGCACCACGTCCATCAGCTCCTTCAAGTCAATATGGTCCACCTTCTAGCAATGGAAATGGAAATAATGGATATTCAGCACCACGCCCATCAGCTCCTTCAAGTCAATATGGACCACCTTCAAGCAATGGGCCTTCTGCACGTCCATCAGCTCCTTCAAACCAATACGGACCACCTTCAAGCAATGGAAATGGTCCTTCTGCTCGTCCATCAACTCCTTCTAATCAATACGGTCCACCTTCAAGCAATGGAAATGGAAACAATGGATATTCAGCACCACGCCCATCAGCTCCTTCTAATCAATACGGACCACCTTCAAGCAATGGAAATGGACCTTCTGCACGTCCATCAACTCCTTCTAATCAATACGGTCCACCTTCAAGCAATGGAAATGGAAACAATGGATATTCAGCACCACGCCCATCAGCTCCTTCTAATCAATACGGACCACCTTCAAGCAATGGAAATGGACCTGCTGCTCGTCCATCAACTCCTTCAAATCAATACGGTCCACCTTCAAGCAACGGAAATGGAAACAATGGATATTCAGCACCACGCCCATCAGCTCCTTCAAACCAATACGGACCACCTTCAAGCAATGGAAATGGTCCTTCTGCACGTCCATCAACTCCCTCTAATCAATACGGTCCACCTTCAAGCAATGGAAATGGAAACAATGGATATTCAGCACCACGCCCATCAGCTCCTTCTAATCAATACGGACCACCTTCGAGCAATGGAAATGGACCTTCCGCTCGTCCATCAACTCCTTCAAGTCAATATGGTCCACCTTCAAGCAATGGAAATGGAAACAATGGATATTCAGCACCACGACCATCAGCTCCTTCAAGTCAATACGGACCACCTTCAAGCAATGGACCTTCTGCACGTCCATCAACTCCTTCTAATCAATACGGTCCACCTTCAAGCAATGGGAATGGAAACAATGGATACTCAGCACCACGCCCATCAGCTCCTTCTAATCAATACGGACCACCTTCAAGCAATGGACCTTCTGCACGTCCATCAACTCCTTCTAATCAATACGGTCCACCTTCAAGCAATGGAAATGGAAACAATGGATATTCAGCACCACGACCATCAGCTCCTTCAAGTCAATACGGTCCACCTTCAAGCAATGGAAATGGTAACAATGGATATCCAGGATCAAGCCCTCAAAGAAACGGTAAGAATTAATTTATTTGTCTTCTTATGGTTCAATGGGATTTAATGTATTAAATAAACACACATAGCAAATGGTAATGGATATTCAGCACGTCCCTCAGCACCTTCACAACAATATGGCCCACCAAGAAATGGTCAGTAAATCAAAAATCAAAATTTGGCATCAAAATATTTATATATTATATATACTTAACAGGAAATGGAAATGGTAACAGCAATGGATATCCAGCACCACGCACAACCGCAGCTGCTCCATCAACTCAATATGGTCCACCAAGTAATGGTTTGTATTATTTTATAATTTTAAACTTTGTATCGAAATTGTAAAATATTTATTTTTACAGGCAATGGTAATGGATTTAGATCTACCAGTGCTACAATTTCAACACAATATGATGCCCCAACTAATACAATCCAAGCTGAAGCCAGAACTGAGTTCATTGAGCCACCTTCCCAATCATATGGCGCTCCCGGCATTGACACAAGCATAGAAACTACAAACAGCATTTACTCTGATGTACCCGAAACAATTCAACAAGGATACGATTCCAACGGTGGATATGCCTACTAAATAATAACTGCCAATAATACTATTTGAACAATTACCAAGTGCCTTATTCTTATATACAAACTCCATCAAATAGTAAAATGTACTCAAACTTCAAATCCACAACTCAGTCAAAATGCTTAGGAACATTTGGATCTGCGAGTCAGTATGATAACTTTTCAATGAACGGTGTAAATATGTAGTAAAGGATCTCGTCAGTTTTCATTTGATTAGTTATCTTACATGACTTTTCTCCTATTTAGGAAGACACAAAGTGAATTAGTTCCTTTTGTATAAAAACGCTTCTTCATATTATGCATGATAGATGATCAAAAACTTAAACAAAAGAAAAATAACAAAATAAAAACATTTTTCTCAAAAAAAAAATCAACTTTTTCTAATGAATTTTTATAAAAACAAATGCTTGGTGACTCTTGAGAGATTTTTGCGAAGAAATAGCAAAAAAACTATATATTTGAGTTTTTCATAATCTCTTCCAATTCCTTAGCATTGCTTCTTTTCTGGATCTTAGAAATGAACCAAAACTGATCTTTTGGGATGTAGAACACCTTAGAAAAATAACAATTTTTCTTTTAAATTCAATTAATATAAACTTTTGCTTACTCTTTGTCTATTTTTAGACTTTTCTTGTCTTAGTCTTTCTTATAGTTCTTCAAACTTAATTTAATTAAAAAAGCCCAAGAAATATCACCTTTAAAATGTTTTTTTTTTTTTTATTATATATTTTGCGAGAAAACGAAGCAAAATTGGTTATAAATTTAATTTACATCATTTTCAAAAAAAAACAGATTTCAAATTGGTTGTGGCATTGCTGAGAAAATCGCAAAATACGCTTTCTGTAAGCAAATAAGCAAGCAAGTTAATCAGCAAGAAATCTCAATAACGAGACATCGTAGAGACTTCTAGTTTTTTACATTTGATCCGTGCTGCTCTATAGAAGAGCTGCATTGTTTTTGGGCAAGGTAGGAACAGCCGGTGCTTCAGAAAAAGCAAAAAACTTTCCTTTTTTAAGGAATTTTTTAAAACAAAAGTTGACTGTGATTTTTATAAAATTCAACTTTGGATGAAAATTTTTTTTAAAAAAATTTTAAAGAATGTTCGTTAGGCTTTATACCTTCAAACTTATGCTGAGCAAAGCTCAGCTGACTCACTAGCTTTATACCTTCAAACTTATGCTGAGCGAAGCTAAGCTGACTCTACTTTTTTCATACTTATGCTGGGGAAATCTTGGTCTATCCATAAGACTTTTGATGGTACGGTGTGAATATAATCCGCATTGGGTTTCTACCTGATACACTAGTTTACTCACCTAATTTTTGGATTAAAAATATTTGATCAACTTGAAATTGACTTCATAATTTGATCAACTCAACGAACTAAAATTTAAATTTTAAGTGACTGTTATGTTATTCTTAACTTTTGAACTTTGAATGAAGTTAAAGTTTTATTTCATGACGCAATGAAAAGTCAAATAAAAATTTTGCAAAATCATATGTTCCAATCTTACGGTTCTCAAAATCTGCAGAGCGCGAAACACTTTAACAGAGCCACTAATATCTACAGTATACCATTTAAAAATTGATTCAAGAGATGACGTCTAATACTAGAGCATCGCAAAAACTTGTTGGTACAACATTATTTCATGATCTGTTAAGACGAACATATAATGCTCGTAGATTTCTTAGAAATATAATATTCAATAATAAATTTCCATAAATTATGTGCCTGTACTCGTAGCCAAAGTTCTCATAAAGAGAGCATAAAGCTTGTCACAAATAGTTTTGCTCTTAAACGACATAAAGTGGTTTTATTGATTTTTTTATTCTTTTTCTTCTCTAGTACAATATAACATAAAGTTCCTTTTGATATTAAAAAGCTCTTTCAAAAAAAAATTAATAAAATTGAGTGAAATTTTTTGAAATTCATCGCACGTCCTTTTCATGAAAAGCTTGAAAGATTTTCTTTATGTATGTACATATGATGCATAGTATACGAAGAAGAGAAAGAAAAATTCATAAAAATAAGTAGATAATAATGGTGAAGAATAATAGTTTGCGAGTTTGGAGCTAATCGTATTACAAAATGGAGGAAATAAAAATAATTTCAATTTCTTTACCGGTTGATTATAGACAGTTTATACTTTTAATAGATTTAAAAAATTGACAATGTAATAGATTTAAAAAATATATCATAAAATTAATTCTGAATACCTTCCGGATAGAAATTATTAACCATAAACGAATCTGTACATAAACGTGTGCGCCGTGGCAAGTAAAAACTATTAAAAAATATTTTTCTCATAGCTTAAAAGAGAGCAAAAGAAAAATCGATTTCAGACACAACTTTTTTTTCAGGTTTATTTTGGTATCGTTGAAAATTACCATAATTTTTTCCTCTCTGTTGTTTCGTTTAGGAAACGTGAATGGAAGAAGAAAGTATCTAGAAATTCATTCAAATAAAATAGATTGTGTATTTATTGCACTGAATACAAACATCCTTTCCACATTTATCATTGTATGGTTGTGTGAATGAGCATTTGTAATTTTCACAACTACATAAAACATGCCGCTGAATTTACGTCAGAGAAAATCGCAATCATCCAATTGAAAGTTTGAATGAAAAACAGCATGCGCCGGTCGTGTACAGACATTCCAGGTGTAATAGGAAAATTCTTTTATCCTTACACATATTCTTGTGCTTGTATTTGTGCGAGGATATTTTAAGTGGGGATGTAAAAATATTTTTTCTTCTACATTTTCACATAGAATCAGAGAGAAGCTACATTTCGCTGCGACCAGGTCGAGTCGTCCTCTCGACATAAAATATATAGAGGAAGAATTGATATAAAAGTAAAAAGGAGCTCCTCATATTAGAAAAAAAAGCTCTTTGGGAAGCTTAATGGAGGTCCATAGTGCGCGCAAAAGTAAAGGCAACCATTTTTGAAAAAGAGGACTAATTTTTTTCAAAAATTTTCGGCTTTAAGTGCATTTTAAGTGAAGGGATAAAAGTGATCGATTAATAATCAAATTAATTACTTGAATGTGATGCAAAAAAAAATTTAAAAAAAATATTATAAATTAATTTGATTAAGCTTTGGCATTAAAATTGAATAAAAAAGAAGTTCACGAGCATAATATAAGAAAATTTTGTGCAAAAAAAGTTTGTGGCTAAGAATTAAAACCAAACGAATAAGAAATTGCGATTATATAACGAAAAAAAGAAAGAAAATTCAAGACAGTGGCGTCACACGAAGAAAATACTAACACGGGCGAATCATCACCTTCCGCCCTGTTTTCAAAATTTGGAGGTTCACTCTTTGGGGCCGCAACTGGATCACCCCAAAAAGTAGTCACTAACATTCGTGGATTTCTATCGAATCACTTGCCTGGTATTCCATCAGTACCAGTTCCAGATACAGGTGAGCTTCATTTTCATTTTCTTTTTTCGACGTCACTGTGCATTACATTTTTATTTTCTTTTCTTTTCTTTCGTTCTTACTTTTTGTAATGCACAAAAGTTAATTGAAGAAAAAATGGTTCGTTGTTATTTTTTTTTTAATTTACATTTTGATTTAATTTTTAATTTATTATTAGTTTTCTGATTCTCATCAATATTTAAATATGAATTTGAAGAATAATAAGCTTAGTTTTAAAGAAATAAGAGCTTTATATACTGTAATTTATACTAATTTGAAATAGTTTTGAAACATAAAATTCGACTGGGTTCCAAAAAAAATATTTTATACAGTTTATGTATCATTTGTTGTAAGATTATCTCATTTTCTTTTTGTGAAATTTATTAGAGTATGTCATCTTTGAAAGAAGATTTTGTTATGCGTTTGTGCTTTTAGCTATTTTGTATCGATTTTTCTTTCATAAAAAGATTCTAAAAGAGTTTCATATTGTTTTAAATTCTGAACCGTATGATTCTTTGGATATCCTCTGTTCAAAAGAATTGTCCTAGACTTAGCCTATACTCTAAATTTTAATTATTCAAAATTTTCTTTGAATGATGTAAGGTCACAAAATTAAATTACATAATTTAAATTTCAAAACTTCTTCATTAGCTCATTATCTGAAATATCAGTTTAATGAACAAACCTATCACACAAAAAGGTTTCATACCCTTTTTGTAATTTATAATGACGGATTGGGTACTTTTTAAAAATAGCATTGTCTACCGCTCTCAGCGGTATGTATTCTAATGAAAATAACAAGATGATTCAAAACTGATAAATTCTTTTAAACCTTCTAAACCTACGCATATAGTCACTATCTATAAAGCATTTCAAGTGAGAAGTACCATTAAGGACACCTTAAAAGTTTTTATTTAAACTTTTACATGAGGTTCGTGTAAACTTTATGCATAAATTAAATCTTTTTTTATGTTTTCACTGAGTTATAAAGTTATGCATCTTAAAATACCTCTAAGGAGACATTAATTTTGTTTATTGTATAATCCGTTTAATCTGAATTTAAGGCATATTCTTACATGAAGTTTAATATGCAAATTACAGAATAAACTCACTAAATTTGTATGAGTTGCAAGTAACAATTTCAATAGAAACAGTTCTTATTACTTTAAGTTTGCTCTAATGAGTGTAACAATCCGTCAGATTGTGTCGGTTTTCGAGCAACACCTTTTTCATAGAACCACCTGAATTATTCAAAGATTTTTTTTTTACTTCGATGGCTTCAACATAAATTTATTTATACACAAACAAATCCAAATTCTACTTTTCATTGAACATTTGTCCATGATACCGAATTTTCACACGGAGTATTTTTGAGGTTCTCTGCGTGTCTGCTGTTTTCCAGTATTATCGATTTTTTTTTTGCTTTCTTTCATGTCTCAAAATTTATCATAATTATTCCACCAAAAAAAAATCATTATTAACATCATTTATGACTCAAATGCATTTTTGGGTATTAAATATAATTTTTTTTCCTCAAATTTGTCTATTGCATCCATGAACTTGCCCATCATTGAATATGTTTTATACTGTATTTTTTCAATTATTCTGAAAGCATAAATAATTTGTTATGGGTGAGAAATTCATTCAAAAATTGGATTTTTTTTTCATTCTGTTTGTTATGCCACAGAAAATTGGAAAATATATTTTTATTATCGAAATAGAATAAATAATTTCAATGGAATTTAATAGAGACAAAACAATGCAACTAGCTTAATGAAATCAAATTATATAATAATTGATTATTCTGATAAAAATAGAATTTATATCGTAATTATAATTTTATAAGTTAATTACTAAGCATGGAATACAGCAATAATTGGTCGATTATCATAAAAATGTTTATAATAATTTTGCAGTTGTTCCCCGTCTCAATAACTCATGAAAAACAACAACACTGGAGTTAATTTAATTATAAACATTGTTTAATGAACAAAGTAGCAGTTGGTAATGGAAATAACAAGGAAGCATTATCGACAATGTTTTAACAAATTATTTGCCTTTATTGTTCTACATGAAAGAAAATATTCTGAATATTCCAAGAATGAAAATCCCATTCAGATGCATCCCTTGTTCTCATCAGTTAAACAAATATTATTCTGCCCTTACCATTCTTCAATTCGTATTGAATTATACGCACACAGATGATGCCTCACACTTGTTTCACCCTCGCATAATGTATACATCTTGTTTATTTATGAACATGTACATGTATTGCACAATCTTTCTCATCATCTCATTCATAAGCCTATTTGGACTGTTTTCTTATATTTACTTTACTTATTTTCATAATGTTTACAAATAAGTGTCCATATCTTATTTTTATGATGTTATTTTCTGATTATAACAAATTCGTCTCATTTCTATTACTCCTTTATGACATTTACATTCCAAAGAAGCTGCAAAATTTTCAACTATAATAGAAAGCTTAAATTATGTGCTAGAAATAAAATAAAAGAAATATTCAAACTAATCCCACTAGAAAATCTATTCCCACATGTAAAACTTATTTTACATCCAACTTTAGCATTAAAAAAAATTTAATAAAAGTTTATCTTCGGGAACATTTTCACATCCAACATATTTAAGTTTCAACACATTCGTGTTTTTTGAAACTATGAAAAATAAAATATTCAAAATTTTTATGTTGTCGGGTCCATTAAATGTTATAAAAATATTTCAGAAACCGTTGTGATACGAGCACATAGCTAAATTTAACATTACAACAAATGCTCTTTGGATTAGTAGTATTGAGTAGAATTTTGTTTCAATGAAAGAAATTAGCAAATCTAATGTCTGGCGAATAAAGTATATCCGTCATGATGTCATTTGATTGCACAAAAACTAATAAGAATAGAAATGCAAATTCTCTCCGTAAGAATATTCCTCATAAATAGAACAAGCATAGTCTTCTAGACCCTTCTTCATAAACCTAAATGTTCTTGATACTGGCTTTATACTATAATTTCTCTTCTATTACGAATTTGAATGAAATCAAGGGAAAATTTCAGCTCGAGGCAACAAGCTGCACAACATTCAAAAAAATGAAAATTTTCACTTAAAAGGAAATGAACATAAAAATGGAAATCCTTTTTCGCCGACTGTTTGCTCATAAAATATTCACACGAATTTTGTTTAATAATTTATGTTCAAATAACATTTTGGTATAGGGATAGAAAATAAGGGCTTAAAACCTAAATAGAGTTGATGGAACAATAAAAAGATTTGTTATGCAGAATAGGTAAAGAAGAAGAATCATAGATAGATTTGGTATTAAAATTTTAACTACAATGATTTATGAAAACTATTGAAAGCTCAGAAGTAAATGATTCAAAAAATATTTGACATTTCTACAATTTTTATGTTTTGAACAATCATCAACATTGAATAAAGATCAAAGTAAGGATCAATCTTGCTAGATTTTAAAAATTACATCGATGTTCCTGAATCATAAAATATGACAAGAAAAGTTAAGACATAGCATAAAAAAATCGTTAAAGAAAAATTTTGTCTTTAAAGTAAATCCAATTTGCTGCTTCCGCATATCTTTTTTACTCCCCTCACTTGACATTCTTCCTATTGTGTCATTCTACAATGGTGTATTGCCATTCAAGCATATCCTTCAAAATGATTCTATACCTTTATTTCCTAACATGTTTTTTTTTCATTTCATTTGTATTAAGTTGAATTGAATCAAAAAGGAAGAAAAGCAGGAAAAGGGAATTGAAAAATTGACAGAAAAATACGAACGACTCCTTGTTTAAGGAAGTTCGAATTGTGAATTTTTTTTTGAAACTGATTGGTTTTAAAATCAAAATAATTGGTTAAAAGTAAAGACAGATTCAGATCGATAATTTTGTTTAAAAAAATGTATATTTAAATCCACGAAATATTCGCTCGAAACTGAGCAGCTTTGCATTTATAATAAATAAACAATACCCGTCATGGGGATCCAAAACCATAAATCGATAAAAGAGATATTCCATAATGTTACTTTTTAAATTTCAAATGCACAACAAGCCTCCCATAGTGTGAATCATGAAGCACAAATACTTACCTTTAATTTTCAAACCCCTTTTATCTTTCAAAAATAATTTTTTGCATCAAAATCCCTACGGGAATTTCCCTATCTTCCTTGTAAAAACATTTTCTCCTGTATCATTGACTAAGTTCTGTATGTGTTTGTGTGACGAAAAAAATATTTCATCCCCTAGTCCATTACATCACTCTTGAAGACTTATTCAGCGTGAATTTTTAATGAGAAGGTTTGGAACGGAATGAAATGTGGAACATGTATAAAACTGAACCATATCAAATACCTGCTCAATTTATGTTTTCTTCAACAACACCGCACATATAAAGCGATCGATAATTTTAAGGACGGTGTGTTTACTTTCACTTTGACGTAATGTGTACGAAAGGAAAAGAATTCCCCTCTATTTACCTCCGTTAATTTAAACTTTATAAAAATTTAATGCAAAAATAATTTTTTGAATTTTACCAACTCAAACTTATTGATTTGTTCTAGCTTGTTCTAGCATTATTTGAGTGTAAAATCTACGTCATGTTGTTAATAACGTATTGAGTTGCGTGACTGATTCCTCTTTTCATAATTTAATACCCTCTTAGACCTTTCTGTAAAGGTAAAGTACATACACGTTTCTCCATTATCGATAAACTAAGAATACTCGTTGCCCTTATTTCGAGTTTTAGGGGAAAATAAAAAGTTGTACTACAAAAGAATGGAAAAACTATTTACGTGTGATATATGTATAAAAGAAACACACAATTGAAGGAAAGAACTTTTTTATGTACGCTGTAAAAGAAAATAAAATACGAAGGAAAAATCAATAAGACGTATGAGATTTTTCAGGAGAAGATAAAAGAAAAACTACTTAAAATGTTTTTTGCCAAAAAAATATAATTTCCAAGTAGTTGTTCTGCAATATTCCTTTTAAATGTAAAAACCAGTTTTAAAGTTTGTGCATTATAATGGGATATTAATCGTAATTTGTCTAGAAAAAGGAAATATTCATTAAAATTCTGAAAAACAAACCAAAAAGTTCTCACAATAAAAATAAAATTAAAAATCATTAAAAACAAGTCAAGTAAAAAATAAGCTGATTAGAGTCGTTATCGAAACATTAAGCTTCTTTGTATTTTCTCAATTACCATTTAAGTGTAAAAAATCCATCTTAAGTATTTCTCATGAGTAAAAAGCAATTAAGTTTTATGATTATTCATTGCCCAAATGAAGAAAGGATTTTGTTTTAGAATTACATGTGTTCACTTCAAGTTTGCAGATTATTGCTTACGTCTGCCTATTGTGGGGAGATTATTGAGATCATATAACAATAAAAAGTATGAATGAAAAACTGCGGAAAATAAAATTTTTTTTGTATTTGTCATGGAAAAAAAAATATGAAAGTTAAGGCGAGGGTGTTTAATGAAATGGAAAGTAATGTGTTAAAGTGGTTATCGATATTTGTCGTAATTTGTCACACTCATTGTTGAAAATATTGCTTATTGCATAAAAATAGAATAATTGTGGGAAAATGTGAAGATTGTGAAAAAGCCATATGCTCTTAAGTTTTGTTATTGTGATTTTATTCATGACATTATTAATTTTGTTTCAATTTTCTGGACATTCCAAATTGCATTCAAGTTTTTATCAAAAATGTTCATTAAAGAATTCTTTTTGCACGCGAATTTCTAATTTAAAGAGTCATTCTAAGAAATACAACATTTCCTGAATGAACGGTGTCTTTTGACCTTTCATAAAAAAAACATGAAAACTTAAAACTCACAGCAAAAAAAAAATGAATGAAATTAAATTGTAATCGGATTAAAATTAAGTCCATTCATGTACGCCTCTCTCAACAATTTACATTTTTTATTACTGTCGTAAATATCAAAGTTATTAAGGGGAATTTCATCGCTTTAAAAATTTAAAAATATTCCTTTAATGTTCCAAAACAGTTTTATGACACTTTAATATTGCTTTCTTTTATGAATTATGTTCACTTGACTTTATGCTTATCAATATGGAAGTAAACTTTTGAAACAATTTTTCTATAAATGAAACATAAATTTAAAATATATAATAAATTATATGTGTGAACATAAGTGCAGTTGCATAATTGCTAATAACCTCAAAACAATTTAAAAAATGTTATAATGTTTTGTGTCCAATTTTGATTAATTTCTATAAATCATAATATGTAAATCTAAATTTTTATATCACAATTTAATAATCGATTTAGTATTTTCTTAACAATCCAAAATCAAAAAATGTTCGTTTCTCTTTCTTTCTTGCTTAATTTGTTTTTTATATTTTTTAAAAACTGATTCACGTTTTTGCATACTTTAAGGTTAAATTTTAATCAATATTTACTTTCATATTCACACAAAATTTTCAATTTTTGTGAATATATTATTTTTTTGATTTTTAACTTAATGTTTTATGTTCATAATTTGATAAGAGGCATCCTTGAAAGACCACAGAAACAACATTTCAATCGTAAAATCGTATTTTTTAAAGTTCTTAAAGTTTTTATTTGATTTTCAATTTAGACTTGTTTTGTATCTCAATTAGGAAAATTTGTTGAAGTTTCAGCAAAATTAAGAACAAGTTGAAAGGAGTGCTTTATTAAAGACATAAATTATTCAAAGAAAATGAATTAAATTAATTTAAAAAGTCATATTTTATTTAAATATTGATGCGAATCACTTAAAAATTTCTGTTCTTGATTTAAAAAATTTCATTTCTTCTTTTGGTTTTCTTTTTAAACTTTTTCTTGCTCTTTATAAATTTCATTTTTTTATTAAATCATTTATTAATTTAAATTAAAGACAAAAAAAAGGAAATAAACTAATCGCAAAAATATTGTTTCTGTGTTCTCCAAGGTTGCCTTACTGGATAAATTCGATTAAAGAATCTAAGCATCATCGGGACCCGCAAAATTTACTACTACCATACACATATCAATCAACACTTACAAAACATAAAAAATATACAAATTAATAAAAAATACTAAACTAGCGAAACTATGAGTGAAAAATATTAACAAAACAAGGAAATGTGTAAAGGATGTGCTGAAGCTATATAGTTGTTGAAATTAACAAATATTTATTGAACAAGCAACAGTTAAAAGGATTAAAAAGGACATTTAAAATCGTAAGAATATTTATCTAAAGCAATCTTTTATAGGATACGAAAAGCTTCTCTTTTTAAGGATCAAACGAAATTAATTAAATCTCAAAAATGGCGCCTTTACCAATAATTAATATGGAATACGCAGAGGCGAAGGAAGTGTTATGGACAAAGATTCAAGAACCATTGATGCAGCGTAAGCTTATTCTTGTGATTGTATCAATAGCATTGCTGTTAGACAATATGTTATATATGGTCATTGTTCCAATTATTCCTGATTACTTGAGATATGTTGGTGCATGGGGTGATGAAGATCAGCAAGAATATTTTGCATCAAAATTGCCAAATGCTACACCATCTACAAAAGTGCATGATCATCATGGCCAAGAATCTGCAACTGGAATGCTTTTTGCATCTAAAGCAATTGTTCAACTGATGGTTAATCCATTCTCTGGTGCAATTATTGATCGAATCGGATATGATATTCCAATGATGATTGGTCTCATCATCATGTTTTTTTCAACATCATTGTTTGCATGCGGACGAAGCTACTCAGGACTCTTCTTTGCACGTGCATTGCAAGGTGTTGGATCTGCTTTTGCTGATACAGCAGGTTTGGCTATGATTGCCGACAGATTTACAGAAGAAGCAGAACGTACAAGAGCACTCGGTATTGCACTTGCATTCATCAGTTTTGGATGTCTTGTAGCTCCTCCATTTGGCGGTGCTCTATACCAATTTGCAGGAAAAGAAGTTCCATTCTTAATTCTTGCACTTATCTCATTGCTTGATGGGTTTATGTTGCTGCTAGTTATGAAACCAATTAAGCAACAAATACGTGAAAGTCAATCCGAGACACGACCAGAATCAATTCCAATTTGGCAATTAATGATGGATCCATATATTGCAATATGTGCTGGAGCATTGATGATGTCAAATGTGCCACTTGCCTTCCTTGAACCAACGATATCACTTTGGATGGAAGATACAATGACAACAGATAATTGGAAAATTGGTATGATTTGGTTACCAGCCTTCTTTCCACATGTATTTGGTGTCATAATCACTGTAAAAATGGCACGTCGATATCCACATCATCAGTGGCGTATGGCAGCTTTCGGTTTAGCATTAGAAGGTGTTAGCTGTCTATTTTTGCCATTTATCACATCTTATAAATTACTTACAGTTCCCATTTGTGTTATTTGCTTTGGCATCGCACTTATTGATACAGCACTGTTGCCGACATTAGGATATTTAGTTGATACACGCTATGTATCAGTATATGGAAGTATTTATGCAATTGCTGACATTTCATATTCATTGGCATATGCTGTCGGACCGATTATTGCTGGTGGAATAGTAGAAATGATTGGATTTGTGGCACTAAATATTATAATTGCAGTAGTAAGTTTAGCGTATGCACCTGCATTATCATATCTTAGGAGTGTCTATGACTTTAAACCAATGGAGAGTGAGGCAAATATATTAATGAGTGATCCACCAGCAAAGGAATATCAAACTTATTCATTACAAAATCAACAGCCTGCTGGAGAATACAAGAATCATTTAGAATATGCAAATATAGAGCCTGGTGTGCAAGAAACGAATATTGATCAGCAATATGACTACTCTCAGCAGCAATATCAACAAGATTATAGCTATCAACAGCAACAACAATATCAACCAGGATATCAAGAACAGGGTGGATCTCAAAATCAGTCACGAAATCTTCCACAACCTGTCGCTAATCCATTTAAACAGCAGCAGCAGCAACAAGAAGCTCAACAACCACGACCACCTGTAGCTAATCCATTCCGACAAGGATTTAATTAAATCTATTAAATTTTTAGCAAATTTTGTTTTCTAAAGGATTTAAGTTAATTATATGCATATGACTTGTTGATTTTGTTAAAATTCTACCTGAATCCTTAAGTTTTATGCTGAACTTGATTGATCATTGCAAAATTGAATCGACGTTTAATCCAGAATATCGAATTAAAAACGATTCAAAATTAAGTACAAAAATATTAAAAATGATGATTATTCAACCATATCAGAAATTAAGATTTGTCAGTGAATAATTAAATTTGGCATGACAACTTTAATCTCGTTAAAAAAAATTTTGATTTAAGAAAAGTTTAAAGCTCTACGTGAAAATGAACAAGAAGATGAAATTAATAATGTGATTTTTTGCATCGTAATGCTTTATGTGTTTTCTAATATATATTCGAAAATATTAAATATAAAAGTGAAATAAAATGAAGAAAATTGTCGTTTTCTAAGATGATGAAAAAGAAATTTTAAAGTGATAGAAAGAAAATTTATTTAATTCTTAAACATGCGCTATATATTATTAAAGGTGGATAAAGATAAAATTTATTTAAAAATACTTTGTACAAAAAAAAACCAAAACGAAAGATATTAATGAATTAAAATATAAGCTGGAAAAATATCAAGAAGGAAAATATTAAGAATCAATTACTCTCGATAAATTTTAAGCGATGATGAACATGATGAATAAACAACTGTAAACCGAATCATATCACATATACATTATAGGTAGAATATTCTTGTAAATTTATCTAAGAAAATATTTGAATGCAGAAAAACTGAATGATAAATTTTAAAATCCAAAAAATTAAGTTGGCCAATTTCCGAAAAATATGCATCAAAAAATTAAATCCTTTAAAATTTCAAAGTTAAATCTAAACCAATACTTTTTTTTGGCAATATGTAAAACTAATTATCGCAAGGATTTAGTATGTAGATCAAGAATCGTTTGGACTTTTCTAACTAGTAGATTGTGAAACAAATAATATCAAATTTTGACTCAGTTTATCGTCTAGCACTTATTTTATAATAAGAGGTTGGACCAGGAATCAATCCCTAAACTGAAATTTCCAAAAGTAAACAGTCTAGAATTGGAACATTTTGTTTCATCCCCTGCTATTTTGTAAAAGTCACAAATGATATTTTTTAAGTTATTTTCACCATTTTATGTTGTGTAAATTTTTGCAAAAAAAAACGAAAACTTCAAGTCAATTCAAGTTTTATGCCTTTTAAAAATGGAAGAAAAATTGTTTAAAATTATTCTGAAGTGAAAATTTTAAAACTCTTAATGTCACTGGAACTACTTTTTTAATTGGCAATCGTAAACATTTTCCTTTTCATTCGACATTTTTAATGAACAAAGGCATAAAAATAATTTTCACATAAGCATGCATAAATTCACTAAGATAAAATGTATAAAATGAATGAGAATGATAAAAAAAAATTAGGGGTAGATGGATGAAATTCTGTATCAAACAGTATTTTGTTATCTACTCCGTAATAGAAAGTATTATTTTTAATAAAAAAAAATTAGAATGTAAGAAGCCATATGAGAGATATAAAAAAATCAGTCTGGTATTACATTCGGTATCATAGACATATCAAAATGCCATAAAATTTAAATTTTACAATTATGGATGTAATTAAAGACTAGAGTATCTTATCGTATGGCATTTATTTTTAACAAATTTTTCACATCTCATCGCTCATAAATCATCACTTATGTGGCAAGAGATTGTGAAAATTTTAATCAAATTTTTATTTTTAAAATTTTCGTAACGTAAGACACAACCAAGGTAACGATACATATCAAGAGCTCTAATGCTCGCCTGAATTATTACCGAAGTGATATTATATATATCTTATATATAGAAGAAACTTATAAATATAAGTTAATATTAATATAACTATAAAATAAAAATTATTTATAGCATAACATGTATACATAAAATGATAATGCCATTATACCATATCCATTTATGGAACAATCTTTTATCATGATTTTGTCTAATCCTCTCTCTAAGTGTGTTTATCTGAACATGTATGTAGGTAAAGATCTTTAACATGACAGCGAGTATTGTCTTGACAATGACAATTCACAATAGTGAGAGGAATAATAAAGTGTTTAGTTTAAAATGTATAAACTTCAGAATGCTGACTTAAATGAGATTTCATAAGTAGTTTGATGGTTTAGAATAACAATGGATATTAATTGACAACTTTAAAATGCGCTTTAAGGATGCAATGAAACTACTATGATATAGCATTTTTTTCACCATTCTTAATTTAAAGCATAAACCAACATTTAATATCAAATGCATATCTATCTTAATAATTACAGATATTTTTGATCCTTTTGTGATTTATTAAGCAAATCCTATTATTGTCTGTATATCTAGATGTTTTTCAAACTAATATTATTTATTATAAATTTTTATTACCTTTAAAAAAATCAATGACATTTTTGGACACTTTTAGGTGATTAAAAACTTTGAAATTAAGCGCTCAGAAATTTAGTAAGTTTTTAATTCGTTCTTAGGAACACATCATGGATGTGAATCACCATGTTGAATATATTCACAAAGTGAACTGATGCAGATCAAAAGATATACTCATAAATTCTCAAGTTTATTTAAAACTTTTTTTTAAATGTGTTGTTTTTTTTGCAAGATTGAAGTCGACGGTTTATCAATCGAATCCTCTTCTTTAGTACTTTACGTAATTCTTACAGTTTGACAAAATTTCATGCCAGAAATGTCATTAGTTTTTTTTGTCAATCCACATTTAATAAAGTTTACCTTCGAATGCTATCTTGATGTAATTTTCACTGAAAATAAGTATTCGCTATCAAACTTCCTTCCGAACAAGTGTGAATGAAAACCAGAAATGGAAAATATAGCAATAAATGTAATTTTAAAATGAGTTTAAGATAAATCTTAATCGATAAAATGTCATAAATCATGGAAAAAAAATAAATTAGCTATAGCAAATATTATTCGTTTTATGGAAAAGTAAAAACCTTGTTTAGTTTTCAAACATATCCAAATGGCTCATCAATTAGTAAATTCAAATAAAAAAAAAATTAAGATGATGCAAAAAGCTATTTGGGACTCACACTAACCGATACAATTATTACTGAAAAGGATAAAAAAAAGAAGTAAGAGATTCATAAATTAATTTAAGTGTAGTAACAAATTAAAAAGTTTTGGACAAACTTTAAAGAATTAAAATGTCCGCCTGTATAGGATCCAAATGTAAATAAAAAGTGCTAAATTTATTCACACTGTCCTGTCATCTATTCCAATAGCATACTAAAATCGAAAGGACATTATCAATTATTTGTAAAAGATGGAATGTGCAAACTACAAAAATGACTCAATCTACTTTCAACTCAATTATCTAAAAATTATCTCTTCTAGTTTTTGGGCCTTCTATGCCTATACTTGTATTTTTAATCAGTCCTGTTATCCTGTCCTATCTATACTCGTGGAGATTAAAAATAATGAAATATAATTTTGTAAATTTGTTGAATCTGTGAAAGAATACTGTTCAGTAAGATAATGTATTGAAATTTTTTAAAAAAAATGATTATTTAAGAATATTTGCTAATTTTTTAAATTTATTATGCTATATTGTTATTAAATTACCGTTCATATTTTCATAACATTTTAAATTCCTTTGTTGAATTCAGAAGAAAAAATTTCGCTAGGTTTGATGAAACTATTTGGATTATTAAATACATTTAAACTCCACAGCTTGTTCCAAATTGTTAATGACTGAAAACTTCAAATTAAAGACAAAAATGTTTCGTGCGCTAAAGTATAACCAAATAGAAAATTAAAGTTTAACGACAAAAAATATTCAGAGACAAAATGAAAAAGTCAAGAAACATTAAATAGAAAATAGACCAAACTCAATAAAATAATCTAATCATTTTAGTTATGTCTTCAAAAGAAAGATTAAATATACCAGTAGCAATGGATACAGATACAAAAGTAAACTTCAATTCTTACACAAATAGAGTTAAAAATTGAACAAGAGTCGTTGTAATAGTTAAATACGTGTTAAATGAAAGTTTTCCATAGAAAAGCATATTAATGAAAAAGATGAAAACTCAACTCTATCTCAGCCATAAATTTTAAATGCAGAAAAATGTTGTTGACTATTTCTATGAAAAATTTAATTAAAGGAAAGTTTAACTGAAATTTTGTTTCAATAAAAAAATTCACAGCAACGCACAAAATTTAATTACTTGTTTTTTTAATTTATTTCATAAAGTTTGAGGTCACCATTAAAATAATATAATTTAATTATTAATAACTTATGTAAATAAAACATCAGATCATTTAATTATTGATCCTTAATGAATAAATTTAATTGTATTTAAATTGGCGCCGGCTTGTGTAATAATAAATGAGAAATGATAATGAATCTCTATATACCCACTTACTTAAAAATACTCTTCTATTTCTGACTCTCTCCATTTATTATGATTGAAATAAATTCTTGTAATTTATTAAATTGTGTAAACTGAGCTTAGGTATATATCAATAGGCTTAGTTTATGAAATGTTAAAGAAATTAATAACTAATGATAGTTAATAGATTAACGAAGTAAAGAATGAATATGACATAATTATAATCGAATCATAAATAAATTAGTTTAATTTTCATGAGTTTCTGAAAATATTCATAATTTTCTGTGTTGTTTATAGCATTTCTGCATATTTAATATATCTTTTTTTTTTCAATTTACTAGTGATCATTCCAAAAATAGCTTCAACTTTTCAAAAAAAAAATTTAATTTATTGGAATATAAATCAAAATTAAAAATAGATCCTTATTGACTTAAATTATTTGCAACTTCAGACTTATTTCTTGTTATTAGAACTAAATTAAAACAATGAGCAAACTATTGATACGGAGTTCTCTAATTGTCAGCTTTCATAACTTATTATTGAATAAAAATGATAAAGTACTTATTGCATTATACATATAAACATACAGTGACACAAATTACATAGAATAGTTAAATGATTAATATTGAGCTATCAAAAATGTTTCTAATTTGGCATAAATGAAATTACGTAAAATGAAATTTTATTAAGAGTGAAGAAGTAAAATATGCAATGCATTAAAATGGACGAATAGATTTCGTACAAATTTTATTTCGAAAAAATGTATTTGTTGAAATCTAATGGATTAAATTACTCAATGATCTTGACATAATATTTTAGAATTTTTCTTGTGGTATTGCATTGCTTTAATTTTGATGTTGGAGAAAGATAACATTCAAGACAGAGTTCGTAATCAAAATAAGCGGCATAAACAAAGTAATTTAGAGTCTGACATCAGTTAAATGTAGTGCATATAACTTGAATCTTTAAAAACATTTCAACAAATCTTAAGAATTTTTTTCGTTTTCTGTAAGTTCTTTAAATTTTAATCCTCTGTCGATCCGGGAATCATAGATATTTTCTATTTTCAAGTAATGATTTCATTGTATTAATGAATTAAATATCAGTTTTAATGTAAGCAGTCTACTCTTGATTAGATGATGTTATCAGGTTCTTTATTATTTCAAAAAGAAACTAAACTATTTTAAAATTGCAGTACTTGCCATTAAAAACATGCATTTAAGCTCCATCTCATCATAAGAAATATAAATATAAGCATTATATTATAAACATATAAAGTATAAATTAAAATATATATTTAGTAAAGTAAAATAAAGTTCAGAAAAAAATGAAGAAAAAAAGTATGAAGTTTAATTTACGGAAAGATGAAATGGTTGAAAAATTTTCTTTATTAGAATGAAAACATCTGGAGTTGATAAGAAAGCTAAAATGTGAAATTTTACTGAAAATGTTCAATTGATTTACTTAAAATAAATTAAATTAGGTTAATATCATGATGAATATGTTATACTGGAAGAAAAACAAGAAAATAGAACGAAAATATGAAAAATAAAAATTGAACTTGAAAAATTGATTGTTATTCAAATAATTTGTGTTTTGTGAATGTTGTCGTGTGAATTCTTTTTAAGTTTTCAGTTTTACTAGATTTACTTTATTTTATACGATATCATGGGTGGATTTTTAAGGTCAATAAATGAAATTATTCAGCAAGCTTGTAAAATAATTTTCCAGATAATACATATTTCTTGTGTTCATATACTAACTTCGAGATCTAACCTTTCCACACAACAAAATATAATTATGGAAAAAATAATTAAATTACATCTCATACGAAATACTTTAATCCTTATATTCCAATAAATTATCAAATTAAAGAATCCCCATCTGCTGTATATCATCGTAGATTCATTGTGACACAAAATACAGTTTGCATGTAATTTTTTTCATAACCACAGTGAGAAGAGGCTTATGATGCAATAAAAACTCATAAATAAATTATCACACATTTTTGCTGCTTCCATTTTTACACCCCCCTATTACTTCATGTAGTATAGGGCATGTGTAGGCTTGAGGTTTATTTTCATTGTGCTAGCTTTAAATCTCCTTGACAACGACTACATTCGAATGCTGAAATGTGATAATATCTTTCGTAAATATATGCATCTACACAAGCAAGAATCTTCTGTCATAATGTATTAACAGTAAAGAATAAAAAGCGACACAATTCCCCTCAGTTTGTTATTCTTCAGCAATGTCAAAATATTTATTGTGAGATAAAAAATTTATGTAATCATGCTGTATCATTGATAAACTTATTATAAAGCATAACAGATTGTATTTCACTATTTTGATGAGGTAATATTCTTCGTTAAAGATGGTTCATGCTCCAAGTCGAGTATATTATGTACTGAGAATTGAAGCTGAATGAATTTTAATTATACATAGCCCATTGGCTTCTCTCTTCAAACTTAAGTCACAAAAAAATTTCTTAAAGCATTAGTTGAGAAAGACTGCATTCAATTATGAACAATTTTGTGACATGAAAGGTTTATCTGTTTTTAAAGTCATTTAAGCATTTTATGAACATCCTGTGGCAGTCTCTTTATAATATTTCTTTTAAAGACACACAATCGGAAGGAGTCAAAAAAATGAATCGATGGAGAAATGCAACTAATGAACGAGAAAATTTTAAACGTCAATAAATCTCATCTCCAGATCTCTTTTTCGTTTTACTGGTAATGCTGCTGCTGAAAATGGGATTTTTCACATTATTTAGGGTGCAAAATTTTCATCTAAAGGTTGTCGTAGGGGTAGAAATGTCTTTATAAAACAAGTCACATGCTAATCAATATTTTTTGTGCCTTTCCCTTCTTTGCTCTTTGGCATTTTATGTATTTTTTTGTTTTAGTAAAGGAAGGGGATTAGCAATGATTGTTTTACAAAACCGCTATAGATCTACCAAATGCTCCCTTCCTTCTTCCAACAATGAATATAAATATTTTGAAAGTAATTTTGTTAGCAATGAATAGGGGGTGTGAGCATTGATGATGATGCTGGTTGTGATGGTTTTTTTTACAAATCATGTTGTTACTTTCACAACAGTATAGTCGATAAGCTGGGGTTGATTCTTGATATTTTAAATCAGTGAAATCAGAAATTTAAAGAATTTTTGCGCATTTATTTTTTGAATATTTAACATTCTCCATGTCTTAACTCAATACCATACTTTTTATCTAAAGATTTTTTGATTTTTAATGCCATTGCATTTCTTTTTTTGAAGAACTGTTCACGAGCTGTTTCATGTTGACTAAGCAATTTGGGATCTTCACATTCATCTTCAAAATCCTCTCGTGGACAGGAGAAAAGAACTGGAGTTGATCCTGTTTTTTGAATCGGTGCCTTCTTATACACTTTTTCTCGTTTCTTTTGATCTTGTTCTTCGCGTTTTTTTCTCTCCTTTGCACATTTAAAGTCCTGTGGAGTTGTTTGTGTAATTTTATCATTGTTGCATGCAATGAATGGCTCTATGACTAGATTTTGACTTGGCTGTGCTTTAACACAACAATGTGCAAAGATTCCTTCTTTTTTCATTTTTGCTGACTGCTGAGGAAGAGGCTTGACGTAACTTTGTTTTGAAGGTTCTTTTCGTTTATTATTTGTGAGCGATTCACGACAAAATTCATCGTCTGAAGAGTGTTCTTCAATTACAGTAGTAAATTTTACACACGACTCTGAACTTTTTCTAGTTCTAACAGGAATTGCAGGAGTTGAAAGACTTTTTCTGTGTGTGCTATTGTTCATGCTTGAACGGGATGAGCATTGGTTATTAGACGCTTCTTGTAACGATTCAATGAAAATTTGTGAATACTTTTGTGGTTTAAAAGAATCTTCAGGCTCAACAAGAACAAATGGAGAATTGTTTACAAATTTTGACAATGTGGTAACAGGCTCTCCACAAATTGTATAAATGCTATCAAAAATTAAAGGAAATAAGTTGGTCGAAGAGTCAGTTTTATCAATAGTTTCTTACATCTTTTCACGATAGTAACATGACTTTCCTTTCTTGGAGACTAACTTCTCAATTTCATTTTTACGCCTACGAATTTTTTCAGGTTTACGAACTGATCCATTTTTGAAAAAATAAAGATTAACGTACTGATTTCCTGGTACAGAACTCATAATTTGAAACTTTATAAAACCCGAAAGATAATTACTTGAAAGAATTAATCTGATTACTTAGATTAAAATATTAGAATTAAGCGTTTATGTTTTTTGATTCCAAAACTTAATATTTAAGGAAAACCTTTATACAATTTTTCATTAATGTCAGCATAAAAATCACATGAAAACGACTGAAGCGAGAAAAGCCAGATGAAGAAAAACATTTCAAAAGCAAGGATCAAACTGACTTGAATTGTCTTTCACATCCCGCAGAGATATTTTTACCTTTTTGCCCACAAAAGTTATAAAAGAAGAGAAAACTTTCCCTCTTTAATTTTTTTGTCGTTTCTGGTGAAAACATTAATAGTCAATACTGCTATATATGCAGTATGGATCACTATATATTTATTTTTTGCTGATTAATGAAGGTTGGTGCTCAGCATCACATTTAATGAGCTACAGTTTTTTTTGCAGTAAATATAGAAATATACATTATAACATAATGTACGAAAATTCTCAAATAACATTCCCCTCCATCCATCAGTCCTGCTTGAAAATACATGTGCAAAAGAAATGAGGGTGGTTAAATATTTCACATCCATTTCGAAGGGATGAAAAAAAGATGTAAAAATTTAATGTATTTTTATCTCGTTATATCTTTAAGATGAAATTGTTACTTACTTTATATTTAAGATCTGAAACTGATACATCACCTTTAAAAGATCCAAAGAAAGAACGAAAAAATGGAAAATAATTCAATTTTGTTTATCCCATCAGCCATGCGTTATTTTATTATTATCATCGTATTTACAACACATGTGTGTATTTCTGTCATGCAATACATAGATGTATAAATGTTCAATAGACAGGTGAATATGCTTTGCATGCAATTTAACGCACAAACGATTTTGATGATATTTTGAATCTACAGCAATTCAATCAAAGAGTTTTTTCGTTCGTTCATCTTGAATAATAACATACGACTTCGATTCTTATAGCCTAAAAATATCACTTGACTGAAATTGTAATAGTAGCGTGAAAATATAAAAAATAATATGTCAATTCTTATTTTTTGTTTGATTCAAAAATTTATTTCATGACATTTTAATGTGTATCACCAGCACAACATTAATCCGGTGATTTTATACACCAGTAAAGTAAAGATTGTCATCCTTAGATATCTCCATAGAATTGTAGAAAAATCATCCTATTTGTCTAAGGGACGGGACGGTTTGGTATAAAACACAGGAGAACAATTTGTCACGTTTATTTTTTTCAAGTATCGAGCATAATAGACAGATTGTAGATAGCATTATGAAATACAAATGGTCGTCGACAATAAATTATTAGTCAAAAGATCCATAATGAATATTGAATAATTCATGATATAATGAGAAATGGGTAGAAGAAAATCGATTTACGATCGATCAAATGAAACAAAATTTCATTGAATTAAGCTGGAAAATTTCAAATATGTCAATGAAATACTTGCATGAAAATCTTTTAAAAATCTCATGAATACGTGTTTTGTTGTCAAGATTCAATCAAGTTTTTCCATTACTCCAAAATATTGAAACGTGTTCACGTCGTACAGCATCATAACAGTAATGTTATTCTTTTCAAATTTAAATGAGATTCTAATCTGCATCAACCTACGAAATTTTCAAATTACATAAAAATTTCCTTTTTCCTTGTCATTTCAACCCCTCTAGCTTAATACATCCGCACACCAAAGTATTTAGATTTTCATCTCATATGAAATCATTGTAAGTTCCAAAAGATAACAAGCGTAGAAAATTTTCTCCAGACTAGTAATACAACACTGCATAGTGAATGAATATAAAACGGAAGGAATCCAAACAATGGTCACGTGTCGGTAATTTAGTCGATGTTGGTATAATAATGGAGAAAATCTATTAAAAATATCATTTTTCAGTAATAAAGCAATTTTAATTTTCCGTTACAAAAGAATTATTGCCAGCATTTGGCATGAATAATATTCTTTTGCATGATGCTCTTTCATTAATTGCGCATAATTAAACTTTCGGTTTGTCATGTAATTAACCTTCCCGAATAGACAAAGAGCACACTATGAGCGCGCTCAAATTTAGTGCTGAGCATGCTCGCGTGAGCGTGCTCTTTCATACGAAAAGTGATGCCACTACTTTACGCTAATGAGCACGCTTTTTGAGCATGCTCTGAGCACGTTATTTTAACAAATTTTGAGCATGCTCAAATTGTTGTGTGACACGCAACATTTTTTATGTCATATGATGTGACATTTGAGTACACTCAGTGAGTGTGCTCGTGAGTGTACTCTGAGCATGCTCACTGAGTGTACTCACATTATTTTATAATTTTCAAAAAAATTAAATTTTGAAATTATTTTTTGATATATTTTACTATTGTAAGGTTTTTAAATGTTCTAGAATAAATTTTGTTCATTAATAATCTGAAAAAGACACTTAAGAAAATTTTGGATTTTACCTGGATTCGAACTCACGACCGCTCTGTTGATAAGACCATTACCATAACCATTACACCACTGCTGCAATTTACCTTAATAATTTATTATGGCAAAAACTCATATATAAACTATAACAAAGTTAAATAATTCGAAATTGATCTCAAAATGTTTTTAAACAATGTTTATAGTTAAAAAGTAGATAACTATATATAATTCTAGAAACTTTGACTTGTGAAGTATATACAAAATCATGAGCATACTCAGAGTATGCTCAATATATGTGCTCTTGAGCACGCTCAATAAAATGTGAAATCTTAAAAAAAAAATGTTTTTTTAGAGCACATTCACAATGTGCTCACGAGTATGCTTAAGAGTGAGCATGCTTAAATTTAAGAATTGAGTATGCTCATGAGCATGCTCAATAAAATGTGAAATATTATAAAAATTGTTTTTTTTGTGAGCATATTCACAATGTGCTCACGAGTATGCTTAAGAGTGTACTCAAGTGAGTATGCTTAACTTTGGTAATTGAGTATGCTCATGAGCATGCTCTCGAGAATGAGTATGCTCTCGAGCATGCTCAATAAAATGAAAAATTTAAAAAAATTGATTTTTTTGTGAGCATATTCACAATGTGCTCACGAGTATGCTTAAGAGTGTACTCAAGTGAGCATGCTTAGATTTAGGAATTGAGTATGCTCTCGAGCATGCTCAATAAAATAAAAAATTTCAAAAAATTTGTTTTTTTGTGAGCATATTCACAATGTGCTCACAAGCATGTTCAACTGAGTGTGCTCAGGTGAGCACGTTAAATGATGATTTTGAGCATGCTCATTAACGTGCTCACAAAAGTGAGCACGCTCTTTGTCTATTCGGGCTTACGAGTGGGAAGATAATAAAAGCTATGTCAATTGAGTTCTTGACATTTCTATTATTGTAGCATTTTCTATGGATATATTTTCATTGATTTATTTCCATAAATCCTTTCAAATTGTAGACAGTTCATTCTAAAATATTAAAAACTTTCTCGATTTTATTAAAATTTTATATCCAACAGCATCCGTTCCGACGTTAAGAAAAACCTTAAAAATATAAATTATTAAAACCTATAGAAATCAGTAAAACAGGATTTTTAGCAAAATCTGTGTAAGCCACAGGCTACAAAAATGAAAGTACGAAAAAGGAAGGAAAATTAATTGAATTTTGTTTTTTTTTTTGCTCAACTTTAATGTTCATTTTCTCCATTACAACATCTACAATACATTTTATTGTTCAAACCAGCTTATTCGCAAAGGAAAACAAGAAAAGAAGAAAATGTCATTTAATCCTGTCACTGTAAAAGAACTAAAGTGAACAAAAGGTGAGGAAAAGTGAGGGAAAAATAGAAAGAAAATTAATTTATTGTGCAATTGTTACGGAAACATAAGACGATATTGAAGTGATGCATTCACAAAAACAGACAATAGATGAATGACATACACTTACACTTTTCTGTCTTTTGTCAATTCGTTTTTTCATTCTTAACACAATAAATATAAAAATGAGGATTTTCTTTCAGGAGCATTTTATTTGTTTTGTATCATTGGATTCAGTGAGTACATAAATGTGAGTTCAAAATACTACCTTCAAAGTTCATGGTTTCATGACATAATTCAAGTTCATACTGAATGTACACGGAAAGTGCATTATTATTAGATATATACCTTTTCTATTCTCTTTGATACTTTATCTATAAAGTGTCTTATAAAAGGAATCTTTAATGCTTATGTGCATTTAAATAATCAAATATCAATTTGCTTTTAAAATGGAAATGAGACTATTGGCTTAAGAGCTTTCAGAACTGAGCACATCTTCCAAAATCTGAAATGTGAAGAACAAAGTTGAATATCTTTAATTCCGAAAGCAAAACTATACATTCAACTTTTATAAAATATATCCTCAACTTATCTAATAATTTTAAATCTAACACAAAGAAGTCTTGTCTTCTAAGTTTTCCTATTACACAATGGGAAACTTTATTGAACATTATATGTAAAAAAAATTGCATTTTATCAGCGCTGAAATAAGTTCTGCTAAAAGAGTTCCATTCAAGTATCATTGTAAAATTTGAAATGACTGTAATGAGCATCATTATCCTACATTGAGCTAGAAAAAGCTATTGTTTCAAAATAAAACTACCAAGACACTTATTGTGAAATGATTTTTATTACAATTTATCTTACTATTGAAGTCACTATCAAGTCCAACTGTGTTCATTTAAACTTTAAATATGTGACACAAAAAGTTTTCTCTTTAATTACGTAAAATTTCTGTATTTAATAATTTAAAAAACTCTTTTTATGTGGTTTCGGTAAGCATCGTATTTTCAATCTGCATCAAATCATACATTTGCCAAAAGCACTTGACTTTTTTTTCAATAAAAACATGAATTGTTGGAGCAAAATATTTTAATTGGAAATTTGAACTCAATCGCAAGTGCATGAATTCTCAGTTCTAAGTGATCATTAAAAAATTGTTGAAACAAATAATAATGGAATGTGCAAATATAGGATCTGGTGGTAAGATCATGACTTTTATGATTTTGATTTAAATTTATTTTAGTAGGAGATTTAATAAGCAACAGAATTTGTTTTTTTTAGATCAATCATTTATAAATGCAATAAATAAAATACTTGTTATAAATCTAAGCGCAGCCTACACATGTCTTCGATAAATCAAATATAAAATCAAACTTTTTATCTTAAGGGAATATTGCTGCCTTTACTAAAGCTTCTTCTTGATTCCTAATTCCGATTGCAATCAATACAAATCGAATGGAAATTCAAATGGAAAAGTTTTTTATTGATGATCCAAAAATATCATTGTTCTTAATTTCAAAGATATATCTTGTTATTGACATACATCTGCATACATTGATATTTGTGTTTTCAAAGATGAAGGTTAAGTTTTTCGAATATTCTAAAATGAATCAATAACATCCATTTTGTTTTGTTTCCAGTAATGTTTTGAACTTTTGTTTAAATGTTATCTTGATTATTTAAAGGTCAGGTTGATTCAACGACCTTTTATTTATCTTTATGAATTTTTTCATTTAATAAAACACACCGTCAGCGAACATCAAGAACAATATAAAAGTGACCCTTTATTTCCTTCAATAAACTTCAGGAGATTGTAATTAAAATTCGTGTGATTTACAACATCTACAAATACATCTCATTTCTTCAATTTGCATAAAAACCAGCTCTACATAAATTCTTTCATCAATCATTTGTATCTGAATTCTCAAGCAAAACAAATTTTTCGTATGTACCAAAAATATACATGATAGTATATGCCGAATTTTAGCTTATAATGAAGTTAGAATTGGGCAATGCGTTCATGGTGATGTTTAAAAAATTAAAATATTTTTTTTTGTAATTTTAAATTTGCCTATTTTTTCGGAGAACCTTCTGAAACATATTAAAATTTTTAATTTTACCCATCCATTCATTTATTCATGCCTACCTTAGAATTCAAGTTGTAATAATCTCATGAAATTCTATAAGTAATTATATTCACCCTCAATAGAAAAACATGTGGTTGATTTCCCTCTCAGTATTTTGTTTCCATTTTTCTATGCAACGATGCCAATTTTGCACGAATTGTGGAAATGAAGGGAAAATAAATGAAAATTTAACCCCTCATATATTTTTTTTTCTGTTACTACCTACGCATGTATTTTCGTATATGTTTCTTGATTACAATCAAATGATTTTCTTTTTGGTCTGCACGTAAAAATCGGATAAATTAAATTTAACATAGACATAAAGTAAATGAAAAAGCTTAAGACATTGCATTAAAAATTTCGTCGTTAGACAATTTGCGGATCACAAAACGACTTGATTGAATTATCTTTACGATGTTGAACAACAAGATGAATTCCTTGTCTATATATTAATTGTCATTATGTCATTTAGACACAAAATTTTAATAATAAGCGTGACTTTAACTAATTAAATTACAATGCAATTATTTTACTTTTTGATCTTCCTTTATTGCTTTAAGCCATACACAAAAAAAGCATTCTTGATCAACACAAATTCTTGTTTTCTTCAGTTTTCTTCAAGGGTCAGACACTCCAAAAGAATTGCAAGAATTGTCTGACCCTTGGTTTTCTTATGGAATCTCTTAGAAACAAGCGGCAGCAATATTGTAAAGTAGCTGCTTCTAAATAAACTTAGTGTAGCATTTTAAAATGTGCTGTTCGGGGGTAAAAAGAAGGAAAGGGTAAAAAGAAGGAAGGGAAAAATTAAAACAAATTATTCTATAAAAGTATTCAGTATTGATGATGAATTAAGAATTATATTTTCCTTTTCTTATTTTAAGTCTCGATAATTTCCTAAAGAATCTCGATATTGATAATTTATTAATTTCTTATATTTTACAGGATGGAGAGAACAAATTTTATCCCTGCCGAAAAGATGGTTGTCTCAAGCGTCTGATACAGATGAATATGGATTTCCATATGTAAGTAAATAGAATTATCTTTTAAACATTTTCCTAATTTTTTGAAGCATAAAACTTGTTTGATAAATTTGTTCAATGACTTCTGTTAAATTTTTTATCAAAAATAAATGCCATTTTTAAAATAATTCCTTAAAATCAATAAAATATTTTTGCACTCGGATATTTTGTCAAAGGATTCAATTGAACAAAATGCTTTATTCAAATCAAGATTCCAAATATTTTTCAACTATCTTCCTCAACTTTGTTGTGTGTCTTTTCTTGGCAGAAAAACTTGTTTTTCCTGATATAATTAGAATTGACATTTGAGCTTTACAACATCAACTTTACTGTAGCAATTAACTTGGATATTAGAGAAGGCATTCATTTACTTTAAAATATAATTTTGGTTCGGATATGTCGGTACAAAAAATTTATTAAATTAATGAACAATAAACTTTGAACAAAATCTCAAATAACAGACCGTTAGTTAAGTTATATGTATTTCACTTGGTATTCTGTTAAAAATATAAATTTTGCTCAATTAAGTGTAAGAAAAAAAGTTAAAAGCGTATCATTGTCATGTGGAATTCACGAGTGATTTCAACCACATCAACAAATAAAAACTTTTCTTTCCTGTGTTTAGGATTCAAACACTTAAATCAGGGCTGAACAAACTTTTGTATTCAGTCAAACGCTCAATATATTTTTAACAAAGTCTCGGTGTCGTTCAGTACAGTTGTAGCACTGCTAGCCTGTCAATAAAAATATTGCAATAACAGACCTTCAAAATTAAATTTTTTACTTCCAATTCCCAGAGAGACACGACGTTATTTTTCCTTTTCGTATTCAAACGTCACAGAAAGCAAAGGAGCATTAAAAGCTAGAGGAAAAGTTATTGTCAAAATATTTTATTTTATTCCCTTTCATCGCAATAAAAAATGTTTTATGCCATTACCATAGTTGATTTACTAAGGAATCCCAAGAGACATGATTGTGCCTTCATTCCCTTTACATTTTAATTTCATCTGTTTTTCTTTATTTGTATACGTTTTGCGCATTTTATAATTTTATTAAAATTTCAACGTAGGTAAATAAAATCGATGCATCGAAGATAAAAGGGGACACAAAAATTTATTCTTGAAATTCAAATGCGTAAAGGTACGACATTGGAAATATGTTAATCCCGATTTGATTTTAACTGTCCCAAATAAAAATTTCTCAAAATCACATTCGTCAAAATCAATTTGATTATTCTCACACGTTTATGCCTTAGACTTTCAATTCAATCATGAATTTAAATTCAAATTGATTGAGTTAAAGCAAGTGGGAAGACAGAATGACGTGTTTTATCTCATCGATATGATTCATTGAGAATTATATGAAAAGAGAATTTGTAATTTCCTTTTTCATCCACCTACATATGAATTTACAAGGGAAACGACTCGTATTTTTTTATCGATCGCAAAAACTGTATTTTTCAACTTTTCGAAATCCCAAAAGTTACAAGGAAAGGTAGAAAAAAATTAAGGCCGGCATTAAATTACAAACTTCTCTTCATTTTCTCTCGTTTTAGTGCTCGAAGCATTGAGCATTTTCATCTTATTGTACCATACATAAAATTGATGATGATGATTCAGTTATATGAGATATGAAACATATAAATATAAAGAGGTTTTAGGATGGTCTGATAAGAAGGGAAATGTGAAAAATTAAGCATAGAAAATTTCTTGAACAATAAATGTCGGCAGACAAATTGATAATCAGATAATCACCAGAATACATGATAGAAAGAAGGACTTAAACACAAGTTGCAGTCTGCTTACATCAGTTCTTAATTTATCCAGACATACTCAGTAGTACGTGACCTTATTAGGCGGTATCCATTCAATGAATTATCAAGGTTTTTAATTATAAACTATTCAATAGCCGTTCATTTTTATTACAGCTTTTCCTTCAATTTACTTGCGAATAGTTGAAAGAGCTCACAATTAGAAAAACTCTGTGAATGGATGAAAAAAAAAGTTTGATACCAACAACCTGCCATTGAATGTTTTTGATGCGTAAAATTTGCTACGTACACAATTATCCCGCTGGGCATCACTCTGTTTTTCAATTTTTATATTTTTTCAATTTCTTATCCCTTTTTGTAATTTCCCCCTTTTCATCCCGTCTCGTTCGTTTGAAATATAAATAAAGCAGAATGTTATATAACACGCTACATGTATATTTCAAGAATGGTACTTGACAACATTTGATGTTTTGTCAAGTGCTCATGAACTTTATACAGTTAACATCAATTGAAGATGATTCTTTTGAATTTTAAGTTCGCTTTAATTACAAGGAGTTTTTTATTTCAAAAAACAGCGTCCGTAGACATACATACAGGATTCCAAATACATTACAATTTTGTTAATGTTCAGTGCTTGCAGCATTTCATTGATATTTCAATTTAATATGATTAAAAAAATAAATACCCGACAACAAATTCTGTAAAAATTGCACGACTTCTCTTGCTTTAAGCTATTAAGAATAAATATTCCCATCTCCATTTCCTTTTTTGTTTCCTTTTCTCATTTTTCTCATCCACATCCGATCAAAGTTTGCATTCAAAATTGGAAACTCAAACACTTGAACAGAAGTTCTCTTTTAAAACTTTTAATCCTTGTCAAATAAAAATTTCATGAATTTTTTTGTCTTTCTAGCAATTACCAAAAGTTCCAGTTCCACCATTGGAACAGACAATGTCAGAATATTTGAGAGTGCTAAAGCCAATTGTAACAACTCAGCATTATGAGAGGACAAAGAACATTGTTAAACAATTTTCAGCTCATCCTGGTCCAAAATTACATCAGTATTTGGTTGATAAAAGGGAAGCAGAAGATAACTGGGTAAGTGATAAGAGGGCGGTTTAGTAACTTATAAAATTAGGAGATTGAACTCTTTAATAATATTAACAGTTGATTTACAAAATGGATAGGAAATCTAAGAATCATTTCTCCTGTAATAATTAAATTTGTATCGCCGTTGATGTTGTCGCTCTTGTTGTAAAATTGGGATCATCAATACATGCTTGAATTTGAAAAACAAAAATCATTACTTGGGGGCAACTTCGTCTCTCCCTTTGTGCTAAGCCAACGCAAACAAAAAATCCATGTTTATCATCAATCACAGGCCACAGTAGGTGTAAATCCTCATAATTACACTCAAGTGGATCGAGTGGATATCGTGCTGTTGTTTCGCCAGGTTGTGTTGTTCGAATAGTTGTCATTTGAGTTGTTGGAGCATTTGGATTAATTAAGCACATTTGTAAAGGAAAATAGAACATTTGATCAAATGCGCATTGATGAAGGATGAATTCTCCAATAGTTCTGCATGTGAAATAATTTCGATCATTCCATATATCTGGCCATCTCAAATCTAATTGTTCTTCTGTACAATTTGGTGCTCTTTGTGGTAATGTTGGAGTTGTATGTGTTATTGGAAAGCACATTTGTATTCTAAATTCAAATAATTGATTTTCAGGACATGATTGCCTAACTGACTGCTCTAAATTTGTACATCGATAAAAATGCTCCAAACTAATGGGGTCTGGCCACAAAAGATTTAATTCATCAGCAGTACACGATGGAGCAAATAAATTGGATTCATTCAAATTTTCTCCCATAATCATGCATGATTTAGTCTCAAGATCCAAAATTTCGTTTGCTTTACATTTCATTCTCACAGCTGTGTACTCGTCAATACACAAAAAGTACTGGTTTTCGTTTCCAACATCTACCCAAAAACCACTTCCATTGTTACAATTTTTCTCATTTTCTGTTAATTTAAAAATATCTTCGGGGTCTGGGGCCATTATCCATTCTGAATCAACAACACATTTTTGGAAGTAAAAATTGAACTTTTGTGAATCCTGACACGAGAAATTTTTTAACTGCGTGCCGTTTTCTGTACAAATATAATAACGTTGTGAGTTTTCGTAATCTGGCCAGAGGATGTTGAAATTATTTTCTGTACACTTAACGTTCTGCTCGTGTAATGCTGCTCTTTGTGGGAAGCTTTTCACCATAGTGAAGCTCAGATAAAATATTAAGTATAATAAAAACTTTTTCATTTCTATTTATTTCTTATAGCACTTCTAACTGCTATCGATTTTGTTAAGTTCCAATAAGGTTTGAAATTCTTTTTTCCACTGTCCAATATTTTTAAATTATGAAATGCCTCTCCTATCTATTTCGGTTAATAGCCTAAATAATACTGCAAAGTAATGATTGAAACATTTCTTTTATAAATTGTATATACATTAACACTTCGTAAATCCACTTATTGCTTATCTTTTCATTTCGGAATGAAGCTTTTCCTTTTACTTCTTATCTCGAATAATTTTGTATTTTGTCATTACTTAATGGCAATTTTTCGCTAAAACAGAAAATCTTGTAAGTCTTTGTTAAGTAGCATGGATGAGTAATTCTTTCAAGGCTCTGTAAAATATAGAATCTATTTGTCAAAGTATCGCCAAATTCGAAATATCACAGACAGTTCAATATTAGCATCAACACCTGTTCCACAAAATCTGTGCTGAGAGTTATAATTGTCTCTTACTTCTTGAGTCATGCTATGATTTCCAAAATTAATAAAATGCTTGAACTTAAGTGAGTATAAGAGCTATATTCAACACAAATGAAAAAGTACGGTAAAAAATTAATCTAGATGACGTAAAAACCGCGAAATCAATAGCACAAAGATAATTCAATAATTTTCAGTGCTTCACAGGAATCAATAATAAACGAATTTTATTTCCTGATGTCAATTTTATGGTTTATTTTATTATAAGGTTCTATTGATAATGCATATTGACAAATTACTATCTGAATTGTTTATTGTATCGAGGCTAATTTTAGTGATCACTTCCGTTTTTAAATCTAAAATGCGTTGAAATTTATTCAATAAGATGAAGTAATGGTAAAGGTATAAACTTGTCAATGAATTTCTTCATTCTATTGCTTGGAGTTGGGGGTATATCAGGTATTGTTGAGCCAGTATAGCCCTCAGTTGTTACTTCTAATGTCGTCGTCTCTATAGTTGTCGTTTGTTCCTCAGTTGGTTCAGATGTGATTTCGACCGTTGTTGTTTCAAGCTCTGTTGTCGTAATAAAAGTAGTTGTACTTGCTACAGGTGGTGTTATAATTTCATCTGTTGTTTGAGGTGTATCTGTTTGACCTGGCGTTGGAGGCTGAAAACATTTTTTTAATTTTACACAAAAATTTTAATTAGCACAAAGCAAACTCACTGTTCCTAATGTTGTAGTGGTAGGTGTTGGCATTGTTATCGGTCCAGTATTAATGGATATTGTGGGTGGTGTATTTTCGTCAGCACTCAATGTAGTGGTTTCCTCAGATTGGGTTGTGGTTACTGGATCTTCAGTGAGGGTTTGGGTTGTAGTAACTGGATCATCAGTTAAGGCTTGAGTTGTAGTAACTGGATCAACAGTTAAAGCTTGAGTTGTTGTTACTGGATCGTCAGTGAGGGTTTGGGTTGTAGTAACTGGATCATCAGTTAAGGCTTGAGTTGTAGTAACTGGATCAACAGTTAAGGCTTGAGTTGTTGTTGCTGGATCGTCAGTTAAAGCTTGAGTTGTTGTAACTGGATCGTCAGTGAGGGCTTGGGTAGTAGTAACTGGATCATCAGTTAAGGCTTGAGTTGTTGTTGCTGGATCGTCAGTTAAAGCTTGAGTTGTTGTAACTGGATCGTCAGTGAGGGCTTGGGTAGTAGTAACTGGATCGTCAGTTAACGCTTGAGTTGTCGTGACTGGAACTTCTGTTTGGGATTCAGTAGTCGTTGGCGGCAATATTGTTGTCGATGTCGTTGATGTTACAGGAGCACGAGTAGTTGTAGTCATTGTTATATTCAAAATTTCATCAGGACTAGGTGGAGGTTGCCATTGAAATTGCCAAACACAAACCTAATAGATTAAATTAAAAAAATTAAAAGATCAAATTTTATTTTTAAATCAAATAAGGACATTTTAAATATCTACACTTCAGATTGTTTCGTGCTTTAACAATAAATCTGTCGAATATTTTAAAACAAATAAATTATTTTCAACAGTTTTGCTAAATCTAATCTTGACATTTCTAATACTTACTTATAGCACATTCTCTTAATGTTAGTAAAATAAGTAAGGTTTTTATTAACTTCTAGTTATAAGATTCATTTAAGATTGTTTTCTTGGTGTTTTCTTAAGCAATTTTTAAATTAATATTATTTTAATCTTAATTTCCACTTAGTTGCTATATGAGCTTTTATCAACTGTTTCTTGAAAAATTTTAGTTGTTACTTAAGATTTCCGGGAAATATATGATTATTTTAAGTAACCAGAAACATAAATATTTGATTTTACCTGTTGTGCAAAACCAAACAATAGAGGCTGTGGACAAGTATGTCTTCCATAAAAATGCAATGTTATGCATTGTATAAAACTAGTATTATCATTCCAATCAGGCCATAGTGTGTTTAGTTGATCCCAACTTGAGCAATATGAAAATCCATTAATAGCAACGTTGGCGGAAAACAAAAGACCAATAAATAATAAAAGTCTCATGTCAATCGTTCTTATCTTTTTTTTTTATAGATAAAGCCTTTAAAATTTAATAACTTTATTATACTTCCTTACACAAAGAGTTCAAATCAAATACTAAATGGTATTTACTTAAATGCGATGAAAATTGAATTGTTCTATCATCCAGATAAGATATGAAACTTTAAATCCCGTACGCGACCGATAAACTTTGTCGTATGCTTATCACGAAAATTTATGAATGAAAACAAGAAATTAAAGCTCTCAATATATTTAGGCTTATAATTATTGGTTGAATGACATGTACATGGATATTCCATTACCGCTACCAATAAATTCTAATCCTGGTATGGTTTTGCCACCACGAAAATTCACAACTGTTCACGATGTGGCAAGATTTGCGGCGAGAATAATTGATGGGATCTTGGAGCATAAAGAGCTTCTGGATAGGTAAGAACTTTAGTCATGATTCTAATTTTATTAATGACATTTTATTTATTTATGTAGTGGAAATCTCCCTCAAGAACGTGCTGCATCACGTGAAAAGAATCAACCATTATGCATGGCACAATATTATCGTTTGTTGGGATCATGTCGTCGTCCCGGAATCGAACAGGATAGTCAATTCTTACCAGATCTTCAAAATAAAAATGAAACTCAACATATCATTGTCTGTTGTCGTAATCAAATGTATTGTGTTGTTGTTAAAGCTGATCAAATTGGGAAATTATCAGAAGATGAAATCTTTTCACAGTTACTGTATATTTTAAGTGATGCTCCATGTCTTCCAAAATTACCCCCAATGGTTGGTCTATTGACAGCAGAACCACGTCGATTGTGGGCAAAAGATCATGAAACATTATTGTTAGACGCGCAAAATTGTCGAAATATTGAACTTATTGAAAAGTCCTTAATACTCTTATGTTTGGATGAACTTTTACCACCAGCATTTAATGCACGAGGATTTCATGGTGCATCATCGAGTGCACATTTTACTGGCGATCGTGATGAAACAAATATGGCACATGAAATGATTCATGGTGGTGGAAGTGAATGTAATACAGCCAATCGATGGTTCGATAAGACAATGCAAATCATCATTTGCAATGATGGCACATGGGGTTTATGTTATGAACACTCAACATCGGAAGGAATCGCTGTTGTTTTATTGCTAGAACAAATTCTTAATAAAATTGATGAAATTCCAAGTCCGGAAGAGAATGGCATCACACCACAACATTTGCCACCACCGGAAAGACTTGAATGGATTATTCGACCTGAATTGGAGAAGAGAATACAGCAAGCACGAAGAGATGTTGATAAGTAAGGAATAAAAAGACTTGAACTAAGAACAATCAATATTTCTTGAAAATTTATTTCATTTTAGACGAATTGAAGACCTAGATTTCTATGTTTATCGATATCAAGCATATGGAAAGAATTTTATTAAATCTTGCAAAGTTAGTCCTGATGTTTATATCCAGTTGGCTCTGCAATTAGCATATTATAAGTAAGCAAATTTTTTTATTGGTCCAATCTACTGTATGTCTAATCAAAACATCACTTTATAGACTTTATGGATTTCTGGTTAGCACTTATGAAAGTGCATCAACTCGAAGATTCTTATTGGTAAGCTTTAGAAAAATAAATTCAATATTTTTATGTGATATTCATATGAGCATAATAATTATTTCCTCAAGGGTCGTGTTGATTGCATTCGTTCAGCAAGCTCGGAAGCTCTTGAATGGGCAAAAGCGATGTGTCAAGGTGAAGGCGCAAATGTTGCTCTGGAAAGTGATAAAGAAGATGAAGAGAATTCGAGAAAAGTTTCATTTAGTATTTATAATGTAAGGAATACAATTCTATTAACTTTTTCATCACGAAGGAAGCAACTTTGAAATTTTAAATCTTATTTTAGAAGGAACAGCTTCGTGAACTATTTCGTACTGCAGCAACACGTCAGACTGAAATAATGGTGCAAAATATTTTAGGGAATGGTATAGATATTCCATTGCTTGGTCTGCGTGAAGCATCGCGTGAAGTTGAAGGAGATTTTCATGAACTTTTTACAGACGAATGCTACAAAATTGCAAATTGTTTTCTTTTATCAACGAGTCAGGTAAATTATTTTTGTACGCTTTACAAATCACTAAATGTAAGACTGCACAAAAATGCACAAAATAAAGAAGAAATAAAATTTATTGCACAAAACTCTTTCTGCACTTATTTTAAATTTTTAATGCACATGTACAATTGATTTTTTAATTGCACCCGAATGCAGTGAATATTACTTTTCAGAAGAGTTGATTAATGTAAGTACATTCAAGTTTATTGATGTTCCTGTAATTTCACAATTATTTCCACAAGCACAGACAAAATATAATTTCTAAATGCTTAGCACTGCCAATTTTTATTAGTCATCTTATATTAAATACTGTGGATATATTTTAAAATTTAGGTTGCGTGTACAACAAACAGCTTTATGGGATATGGTCCAGTAACACCTCGCGGCTATGGATGTTCCTACAATCCCCATCCAAATGAAATAATTTTTTGTGTATCAGCATTCTATTCTGCTGATATTACAAGTGCAACACGTTATGCAAAATCATTACAGGATTCACTAGACATTATGCGTGATTTATTGGAGAATTAAGGTCGGAAGATGAGAAAAAAAAACAAATAATTTATTACTTGTTATAATGAAATAAATAAATATTGATGAGTTATCTAGTCGGCACGTACCCGAATAGACAAAGAGCACGCTATGAGCGCGCTCAAATTTAGTGCTGAGCATGCTCGCGTGAGCGTGCTCTTTCATACGAAAAGTGATGCCACTACTTTACGCTAATGAGCACGCTTTTTGAGCATGCTCTGAGCACGTTATTTTAACAAATTTTGAGCATGCTCAAATTGTTGTGTGACACGCAACATTTTTTATGTCATATGATGTGACATTTGAGTACACTCAGTGAGTGTGCTCGTGAGTGTACTCTGAGCATGCTCACTGAGTGTACTCACATTATTTTATAATTTTCAAAAAAATTAAATTTTGAAATTATTTTTTTGATATATTTTACTATTGTAAGGTTTTTAAATGTTCTAGAATAAATTTTGTTCATTAATAATCTGAAAAAGACACTTAAGAAAATTTTGGATTTTACCTGGATTCGAACTCACGACCGCTCTGTTGATAAGACCATTACCATAACCATTACACCACTGCTGCAATTTACCTTAATAATTTATTATGGCAAAAACTCATATATAAACTATAACAAAGTTAAATACTTCGAAATTGATCTCAAAATGTTTTTAAACAATGTTTATAGTTAAAAAGTAGATAACTATATATAATTCTAGAAACTTTGACTTGTGAAGTATATACAAAATCATGAGCATACTCAGAGTATGCTCAATATATGTGCTCTTGAGCACGCTCAATAAAATGTGAAATCTTAAAAAAAAATGTTTTTTTAGAGCACATTCACAATGTGCTCACGAGTATGCTTAAGAGTGAGCATGCTTAAATTTGAGAATTGAGTATGCTCATGAGCATGCTCAATAAAATGTAAAATATTATAAAAATTGTTTTTTTTGTGAGCATATTCACAATGTGCTCACGAGTATGCTTAAGAGTGTACTCAAGTGAGCATGCTTAAGTTTGGTAATTGAGTATGCTCATGAGCATGCTCTCGAGAATGAGTATGCTCTCGAGCATGCTCAATAAAATGAAAAATTTAAAAAAAATGATTTTTTTGTGAGCATATTCACAATGTGCTCACGAGTATGCTTAAGAGTGTACTCAAGTGAGCATGCTTAGATTTAGGAATTGAGTATGCTCTTGAGCATGCTCAATAAAATAAAAAATTTCAAAAAATTTGTTTTTTTGTGAGCATATTCACAATGTGCTCACAAGCATGTTCAACTGAGTGTGCTCAGGTGAGCACGTTAAATGATGATTTAGAGCATGCTCATTAACGTGCTCACAAAAGTGAGCACGCTCTTTGTCTATTCGGGGTATTAGGAAAAAAATAAGCTTTAAAAGTCGTTAAGTATTGTCAAATTGATATCTAATAAATGAATATGATACAATAATAAAATTTGAAACAAGACATGGGATCATAAAACTTACATAAACAATATTTAGAATAGGTTCCAACTATTAATAAAAAGGTATGAAATTGAAAATATATTAAACTCATAGCGACGAATGTAAGCAGAAGCATCCATATCAATTACATTTGACCCAATGCTTGCAAACAGAACAGCAAAATATAAAAAGATTAAGAACTCAAAGTTTCTGTTTCTAGCATTAAGATTTGGCTTAAAAAATTTATAAGTTCCTCACGAAATTTAAAGATTACGCTAGGTATAATGCTATTCAAATTTGTTTTCAAAAAATAATAAATTATAATATGATCCCAATTCATTGTTTAATTCGACAAATCTCGAATGAAAGTAAAGAATATTTAGAAAAATAATATAAATTAATATCTGTTGAATGTAATTTAAATTAAGCACATATATAGCTACTGTAAAATATATAATGTGATCAAAATATTAAGTTTATTTTTAAAAAATGTTATTCGCAAATTTATTGATTTTATCTTTGACTACAAGTTAATCAGTTTGTCTGGAAGGTTTATCTTTAAAAATCAAGGGGCTTTTTTCGGACCAGAACAAGACTCAACGCAGTTAATATTACATTGCGTAATAAAGAGTTTTAAGCTCTTGCTTGTTCGAAATCTGTTAGCAATTGGTCGACACGTTTGCTGGTCACTGTTTTCTTATGATAGGGCAAAAGCAAATGTATATACCGAAGATTCATTAAAGGTGTTGTATTAAGAAGTTGAATTTTTTCAAATTAATGTTTTGCAAAAAAAAATGTTGATTCCCAATTGTTTGATCTTGTGTTTCAAAAATTTAATATTAAGATTTAATGAAAAGTTATAACTTCAGTTTAAGGTCTTTGAAATTTTTCCAAAACAGTTTTGAGATTATTTACACTGAATAAATTAATAATATATTAAAGCATTGCAATTGAAATTGCATTCAAAGTATTCATTCGCATTTTTAAAGATTTTACTGAAAATATTTATTTAAATTGCGTGTAGCAGCAATAAAAACATATTATAAAGTTCGATACATTCAAACGAGTTAAAATTTTATTTTATTAATTATAAATTAAACGAAAATTGGTAAAAAATATATTTATTGGAATAAGTGTTAAATATTTTGTCTTACTGATATATTTTATTTTCAAATTTTTATTCAAAATAGAAATAAAATTATTTTGATGAAGTTAAAGATTATATATAAAGCTGTAGAGTTCTTCTTAGAAGAGGAGATAATTTTTTATGTTTGACGTTAACCAAACTAATTTACCGTTTTTGCAATCAATACTGTGATTTTTGTTAATAGTACTTAATGCTAAATTTAAACTTTTTTAAACCTTCTCATAAACATATTTTATTACTTGTTTATTACATTCTATTTTTCAATAATATATTTCTTAACTAATGATATGTGTTTATCACAAAGAGAATATTATTATATTCACACCGTTTTTAAATAGAGTAAACATTTTGATCATTTTTGAAAATTGTTTAAAGAAATTAAACAAAAACTTCAGATTTATGACTATATCCATGAAAAACTTTCTGTTAATAATCATTAAAATTTTATAACCAGAAAAAAGAAATTTTGGAAGTAATTCACAGAAAGAAATGAAAAAAATATTTTTTAGTGGATGCTTAATATGATAAATTAAATAATTGTTATGATAAATAAATGAAGCCCGCTTTCAGTAAAATCTTGCCCAATTGTTAATAAATTCACATATTGATGGTGGTTTTCATAAGTCATATGCAAAAGAAATTTCGCATAAACACTGATGTCAAAAACAATTTAGTAGCTTAATCAGAATCATGCATGATGAATGAAAGCTTCAACATTTATTAGCATAAGCTTGACTTTGATTTTATATACATACAGAAAGAAATATCATGAAAGAATAGTTTTTAATGACAAACACGAACAATTCAGAAAACCTACTGCATATCAATTAATAAAACTGAATATCAACATTAAGTTGACCGTCAATTATTTGCCTAAATGTGCATTTTAGGTGTAAATGTAGTGATGTAAATGTGTATTATGTATCACATAGTTTTATATTAAGTACATAAGTCGTGAAATTGTTCATAAGCTGAACATATCCAAACTAAAACATATCAACATACATATCAATTGAAGAAATGAGATGCATATCAAACAAAATTAATTTATAATGAGATAATGTAGATGTTAATAGATGTTAAAGTTTGATTTGTGGATATTAAATGGCATTATTGAATATAGAATAAAATAGAAAAAATAGAGATCATAAAAATAAGTAATTCATTATAAAATATAAAATAAAAAAATCAAAAATAAAGTTAATAGTGAATGATTGGTTAAGATTTTACATTTTGTTTAAAGTAAGGGCATACAATTTTAATTTTGATCTGTTCAAAAAGTTTTTATAATATATTTGACTTTAACTTTTTAGAATTCAAAAATTCAAAATCGAAATTTGGAATAATTTGAAAATTTAATTTTTAAATTTTTTAAAGAAAAGGATTATCATTTTTTTATAAATTACCGAAATTACCATGGTAATAAAAAACGTGTTTAATGAAATACATAGTGTTCAAATAAATTTAATCTAGTTCAATAAGTATAGTTTTGAAACTTATCATTAATTAGTAAATTATTACTCAGTGGAAGGCATGATTATTCATGAATTTCCTACTGCAACCAAAATCGATACATATCAAAATGTAATCTATAACATATCATAAAAATATCGTAGAAATAAATTTAACTAAACTGTTTAGTATACAAATTCTAATAGAAAGTAAGATAAGTTTAACCAAATAATAGCATGTAATAACCAGTAGAATATCACTAATAAATGACAAAACTATTGCCTAAGCAACAGCAAAATAAATCTTTTTCTAATTCCTTTATTAAAGACCATGATATTGATATGACAAAATTATTTAAACAAAGTAAATAAATAATATGTGAGAGTCATACTAGCGCCATCTTCATTTAATACTAGGAAATAATTATATCAGTATAACATTTTTTCACACGTTTTTTCTTCTTTCTATGGTTTGTCTTGATAAAGAAACTTCTGTCAATAACAACAGCAGCAAAAATTTGTTTACCCAATACTGCCAGTCTGTAACCCTCTTTTGTAAAGACGTGGGTTTGATCCCATCAGAGATCGATCTATCGAACAATTACAAGAATTGTTCTCGATATGATTAATTAGTGATGCATAGATATTTAAAGTGATCTGTTATTATTTATTTTATAGCAATCAAAAATGATTTAAAATCTTACACATTAATACAAAATAACTGGCTTTTCCATATAAAATTAACCTTCATTTGTGAAGTTATTCAGAGCGTTTTACTTGCCAATTTTTTTAAAGTTATAATTTTTAATAAAGGAAAATCTTTTCATTCACCTTGACATGTAAAAAATACTGTGTTAAAGAATCTCATTTTTGGCAAGTTTATTGCTGAAAGTTTCTGTTTTGTTTTTCTGAAACTGTCGTATAACATAAAACATATTTTGTGCATTCAATTGAATTAAAATATGTATGACTTTCACTAAAAGTATTTGGGATGCGACCAATTTGAAAACAATTTAAAAGAAAACAACTCATGCTTAAATAGGTTGAAATTTTAAAAGCTTTAAGAAACTCCATAAAATGTTTAATAAAAGACAAAAAAATCCGTTAACCAAAAATTTTGAATACGCTTCAATTATAACAGTTTATTGAAGCAAAAAGTTTGCCTTACTCTGTTATAATTTGGTAAACAAAAATATAAAACGCTAGCTCTATAAATTATTATTGTTAGATTTAAAGAAATAAATAAAATTTAAGAATAAAAGAAACAGAACTGAAATTTTAAACTATGACATTAAAGCATTATAGCGCTTTAAGTAATAATAATAGCAACAACCAAATGGATACACTAGAAGATAAAGAGGAAAAATATAGGATTTTAGTGATGGCATTAGAAAAGAGATGTGCTGAAATTAAAAGATCTAATGAAGCATTAGCAGCAAGGTGACATTATTAAAGCTTCCGCAGATTTTAATCTTTAAATAATCTCCAAACAAATATTATAATCTTAAAATAAACATTAAACATCAAAAGATTGCATTAATAATATAATAGAAAATGTTTCTTTCCACAGATCTATAACAATTAGAAAATTAATCAAAAAGAGGTCTAGAGACGTAGAAATTCTAAAAGCACGACTCGATAAATTCGGCGATTCATGGAGATTTGTGTAGGAAACTCAACTTTATTTATTTTTATATACAACATTTTAATAAATCATCAATGTCAAATAAACAATAGAATCAATTATAATCAATCGTTTTGTATTCTCACTCTGTCCTTATTCCTCAATATCAAGTTCATTATAAATCGATGACATAAAAGTTGCATTAGAAATCGTCTGAAAAGAATATGCGAAAAATTGATAAAGATTGTTTTATTAATTCAATCGATGAGAATAAATTGGCGCACGCTAAATGAATGGAAGCAAACTATTTATATAAAATTTCTATTGAAAGGAACAAAAAAAAAATAGAATTTTGACACAATTCAGACAAAAATTAGAATAACATTGTACAAATTATAAACGTTTAGATTTTCATTAAAAGATTTCACTTTTAGGTTGTTTTTCTTAAACGTTACTTTTATTTTTGAATTTATAATTATTATTACAATATTTCTTATAATAAATTTTTAAGAGTTCAATCAACAGTTTTTTCACCATAAATTTTGATCTAATTTATAAATGTTGATTTTATTATGGGTCCTCGATTTGAACATGATTTTTCTGTAACCCTCAGTAGTTGATGCGTTGGTACCCAAAATGATATGATTAGTTTTTGTTTATACAGATAGATCGATTTTTGTCTATACAGACAGATTGGTTTTGTCCTCAACGGACGATTGATTCAAGTAACTCTACACATTTGTATTACCCAGGGTGTATCAATGCAAAGTATCTAGCCACAATTTTCACATCGTGGCAGTCAAAATCCGACTATGTTCGAACCAGTTTTCGATTGTAGCTTTGATTAAAGTACGATGAGGCACAACTACCAATCTCTCAATAATCATAAAAGTTTTATCTATGTAACAAGGATACAACATTACAACAAGAAAACTTAAAATACCAGATTCCTTTTAATTTCAACAAACACGAAATATTGTGCTTCGAATATACAATGAGAAAAACTTCACAATTTTCTCAAAATAATTCATTGAACTCGTGTCATTTTCCCATAAATCCATTAAAAAGACAGACAGCAAGTTCAGACTTATCCAAAAAGACGCCCGTGACTGTTCGATTTGAAATTCGTCATTGTAAAACACAAACATATCGCAAAATGTCTGAAATCAATAAAATTTATCAAAAAAAAAACTTACAGCCGTTGATAGAAGTTATTCTATTACCGAAGGTTCACTTAAAAATTCAATAGCAACATCTTTTTATAGTCAAACTGATTGTCATATTCATCAATGTAAAAATTTCCTTTCAATGGAAACTTTCAATTCAAACTGTAGCTATCAACAACGCTTGAAGTTGGAGCTTTGGAAAATGCGAAAAAATCATTCAAGCATAAACTTTTTATGATATTCAATTTGAAACATTTCTATTCGTTTTCAATTGTTGGCAACAAAAGGCAGAAGAATGGAAAAGAATTGACCTATCATATCAAAACATAATGATGATATCAGAGAAAGCAATCACAAGCATCGCACACATGACTTCACAATCTTAAAATCATTCATTTCTCAATTTTTATTTTCTACTCTTTTTTTTCCGTTTATGCTGCCGTTCTACCCTCCTCTTTAAATTTTATTTCTCTTTCATAAATAAAATAAAAAGTGACGACAGAGAAAAAAGTTTATCATTAAGCAAACAAGCTTCAAAATCGTTCCCTCTCCATTCGATCTAACATATGTTAAATTCTTTAGCCTAAAATAAAAGGTCAAATTGGATACTGTCATTCATTTTATCTGACAGACTTCGATTCATTTCTGATAACAAGCATATTTTTATTGATGTCCTTTTCAGTTCAATTTATAATGATGGTCAAGTAAGTTTTAGTTCTTACTTTTAAGCCTGTTTGATCTCAATGACTTTTGTTTCCAAAAAGTTATTAAGAAAAATTTAGTGACGATGCCTTACAGCTGTATAAATTTTCTTTTGCTTCTATTTTTACTTGTAAGTTTATAAGGACACCACTCGATCCTATCATAATAAAAAGTTATACAATTTATATTTGACAAATTACAGCCATTGAGTTCACGTGTTGGAGAAAATTGATCAAGAAGGAAACATTTATTGAACATAAATTTTTACAGGTATTCGTAGCAATTTTATGATAGTTTTATGAAGATGTGCTTATGATGAAAACTAATCAAAGGATTTGGAGCTGAAGCATAGACAAGTGCATTCGTAAGCATAAGCTATCAACTTAAAGTAGCTCAAAATGTCTTTTACAAGGATTACAATAAAGATTCGACCCTTTGTCACATATGTCATGCAAATAAAAATCATGATTGCGCCTCTAGTTCCGTTCAACCATGGCATTAAAACTTGTCACATTATTTTATTGATTTAAAGAGAATGAAAAAAAGTTTTCTTCTATAAAAATTGAGAAGACTTTAAAATAAGAGCTCAGTTTGCTTTAGTTGTTCCTCAATTCTAGTTCATATGCATGTTCGCGTTTTAGAAGAAATAACCAGAAAAATTATATTATTCTAGAAAAGTTCATTAAATTCCGAAGGAGAAACGAAAGGGAAAATTTATGGGAAAAGTTCATTATAGAAATAAGTGAAATTCGTTTTCGATGCACGCAAATCACAACTAGGCAAACTGGCTTCTGTTTGCAAGGTTATCAGTTAATAAAGTGGAGCAAATTTTGGATGTTATATAAGATTCAAATTTTTTATTAAATTCCATTCAATAAAGATCAATTTAAAAGCTATTTAAAAATTGGAGTCAAAAACTTAGTGACTTTGTTGCATACAGCAGCTAAAAGTATAAGATTGTAAATTGCGCAATCATAAGGACTTTTTATGTGTTCATGTGCTGATTATTTTACGATTACTAAGTGCAATTTCATTCTTATATACTGCATGAAATAATAAATAACCAATAAGTTCATACAAAAGAAAGGAAAAAGGATTATTTTTTTTGGAGTCATCCATAAATTTATGCTCGAACAAGCATAACTCTTTTCCGTAACAAAAAACACGAGATTTAAAATCCCGAAACTTAAGGAAGAATGAAGGAAATGATGCAAGTGAATTGTGGTTTATGTGTCTTTTATGCATTTATGATTTTCTTCGTGACGTCAACAGTGTCTGGTAAGTTTCTTGATTATTCCTATAATTTCCATAAAAGTCATCAAAGACATCACTTATATGCTAAAATTGGATTTTTAAAAAAATTTGCTTTTTCCCAAGATCTTATAAAAACTGCGCCGCTCCATTTTTTAATTGGACCGCATGCGAGTCACCAAATGATACAAGTTCAAGGCCAGATCAATTAATTAGAAATTGTATCAAGTGAAGCTAACGAATATGAAGAGATTTTTGAATCGTTCGCATACTTTTCAATCAAAACAAATTAACTTACCATGACAACGCAAGTCTTTTCTCATTTTTAACATAAGTACTAAAATGCACTAGTAGCATCTTTGCTACCTATGTAATATTTTGAGTAAATACTTACCTAATATACATACATATGCTAACTCAAATATTTGGGGAATGATAAAGTTATAGTAGAAGGAGGAAAAACGTGTTGATAACATTTTAATGTTTTCAAATAGATTAAGGTTACATCGATTGTAGATCACCAAGAGATATTATTATGTATGTTTCGAATTATTTAAACTATTTTTGAATTCATAAAATTTGCAAATTCCATTAACACAGATATGCCAAATATCAAAAATTCGCACTTAATTATAAAGTTGAAAATCATTCTGCTAATGCATTTTCAAAATCAAAATCCATTTTCTTCTCCAATAATACTTAGCATATATTGACTTCAGTTCATATATTCTTTTTAAACACTTTACTTCATTGCATTAAAAGTTCAAAGTTTGCAATTTTAAAAGTTTTTTTATTAAAATGATTTTTAAAAGCCTGATTTTATTCATAACAATGAATTCTAAGACTTGATTGAAATAAACTAAATGTCAAAATAATTGGCTGGTGAAAATGATTTTCTTAAAAAATTATTTGTTGTAAACATTAAGGAAAAGATGGACATCCCAGTCAACAAAAGAAATTTCAATCAAAAATTTTTGAAGCTTTCCATAACACCAATTATTAACACATGTGCTGAAAATTTTATCTTTTGGAATTCCCCCAATTTTAAACATAAATTTGCTTAATTAAAGTTAATTTGGGGCATTTCTTGTTCATTTAGCAAATAATATTTTTTGAGTTCTGCTAAGTGTCATATAAGCATGAACCGAATAAGGAGTGAGCCACATTTTTTAAATTGATTCATTAATAAAAAAGCGAGGATGGCTTTCATTTCGCGGAAGTGCCGCAATTAATTATCAATAATTTTTCAGCCGAATAAATAAAAAAAAATATTTTCAAAAAAAATCAGACAAAAAAATCGCACCACTGATTCGTACACAGACAGTAAGCGTACGGAAGTGGATAAGGGGTGTGGGGCGATAAAGTTATTTTCTCATCATTTTCACATTTCTCATTTAACGTCACTGATTCACTTCAATATTGAGTAGTGCTACATGTTATCAATATAAATTTATGTAAAAAAAATTATCTCATTTATATTTAATTTTTTTAAAATATGAACAACCATCATTCTCACACTGCCTGTACCCGACAATAAATTTCATTAAAAAGTTTAAATTTTAATAGCAAATGTAACGTAAAATTGGAAACAGTATTGAGTATTATAATTTTTAATTGAATCTTTCAATTATATATCACGTATCAAACTCGTATGAATGCTCCTATTCATTGTTAATAATCAATATGGTTGCACATGTTCAAAATATAAAGAAGGAAGAATCAGGTTTGTAATGTTAGGAAAAAACTTTCAAAGATTAATTTTGATGCTCGATTAAAACTTCCGCAACGTTGACACTGTAATTTCATCAAATTACTACACCTTACTGGAAATGAAAAGGGAACCTAAAGTTTTCTAATTTTCGATCATGTTCTGAATTGTGATAAAATTAAGAACTCACGGTATAATTTGTTTTAATGAGCTTCCTGAGGATTCAGTTTGGGGTTGTTCGGCTTTTAAGGTTTTAAATTTTGGATTGAAATATTTGTGATAATGAAATAGGAAGTCAAAAATCTTATTGTAGTTATGTTATGTAATAACTGAATAAGTCCCTATTGATGCTTCCTTTTGAAATTAGAAACTAATCATCGATTTCAAAATATATAAGGGACCCAAACTTTTCATTTCCTTTATGACTCTAGAATTTCGACGATCCTTTTGAGATTATTTTAAATTTAATTTATCAATAATTCAAAGGTTATGATTTTAATTAATAAAAATCTTAAAGCTCATGAAGGTATTTTTTTGCTTCATCAACGTGTTTTGAAAGTACAAATGGATGGGTAGTATTTAATGAACCTTTCATCATCGCTAGAACATTAAATATTAATGGAAATAAGAAAATGAACAGCATACCTTTACTAAAAAGCGCATAAATGAAAGTGAAATTTCATTAAGAATGTAGGTGCTTAATAATTCAATAAATACTTTATTCACTTGCAAGCAGACACTCTAGTTGCGATAATGAAACCTTAAATTTATTTTTTTTACATTTTTTAAAGTATTGGCTAATCTAATTCTTATCATTTTGAATTTTTCAAGAACTTCATTACATAAAATTTCATGAACAAACGAAATGATTTTTAAATTTGACAATAAAAGTTAAATTTTATTATAACATTTCCATTTGAATACTTTTGAAACTTCAATTGTCACTAAGTCTTTTATTAACAGTAATCAGTTCATTCAATGGTAGATCTCTACTCTTATCCGCTCATAATAGATAAGTATTATGATCTCAAATGGAATGTTGATTGCATAATAAAGGAATCAACCAGTTCCTTTACAACATAAGTAAAAGGCGAGAAATTCTAAAGAATGTAGCTTCAAAATGTAATTCACAGTTTCCTTTTTCAACTTTACCTCTCATCAAACGACAAGTTCTTCCTTTTCCCATCAAATTCAATTACCATTCACACTTTTTTCAATTTTCTTATTTTCCTCTCCGCTACATTGAACATTCATAAATGTAAGATGAGAAAAATTTCCTCATTTTAAGCAAAAAAGAAATCATTGCAACTTTTGCTGCAATCTCTGATGATGCTTAAGGAACGGATGTAATTCAACCTCAACGATGCGCTTAAGATATAATTAAATTTTATTTTTATGCGCTATTGCAGCGTAAGAATAGAAAAATGAGCAAGCTGAAAAGGATGAAATGACGATAGCATGTAGGAAGGGTAAAAAATGTGAAGATAAAATAAAGGAAATGGGAAGTGGAAAAAAAAATGTCAAAAGATGCAGAGGAATTACAAGGATTCAACACTGATTGCTGGAAAGATAAGAAAGCTGATGTACTTTATATTTAAGTAGCGATTGTTGAGTTAAAAATTAAACCATGAGATGAAAACTCAAGCAGCTTCTGTTCTTGTTGCATTCATAATTAATTCTTATAATTTAATTGCATGGTTAAGGAATAATGAAATGAGAAAGCACAGCACTCATGCGAATTCATAATCAATATTCGACTCTAAAAGTGTCACACGCAGTAGTTTAATTTAAAAGATCCAATTCCACAATCAAAATCATTGTGTTTCTATTAAATGGCCAAAAAATAATCCTTGCACTTTTTAAATCACATCCAATTTTAAAAATACTGTTTAATTTTCAACAAACTGCTGCAAATTTTGCAAAAAGTTGTTATTTATTGCTGAAATTTTTCAGAGAGTCCATAAATTTTTCGGATATCTTTACAAATGCTTCTGATATATCAGCAAACATTATTTTTTTTGGGAGAGTTTTGTGTGAACTTGTTAGTAAATCCATTCTTAATATTTATTCAATAACTCCTTCGTCGACACTTTTAAAAACAAACTAGTAAACTATTCTCTTCTCTTTATTCCACTTCCAGCTGTCGACATTGAATCCATAGTTAGTCATTGTTGTAATGAAGGAAACGATTGGGGCTCACAACGTAAACATTGCAGCGAGTATAAGTTTAATCTTGATAAGAATGTTGTACCAGCTGGCTTGCATGGTTTGTGCTTATCGACAGTAGAAATTTGTTGTGCGAAGCAACATAGAATTTATCAGTGCACGGGTGAGTAACAATAGCAAACAATATTTTCTTCCTCATTCATTCATTCACTGAACAAAGTTTGCTTAAGGACTTTTGTCTATAAAGTTTTCCTAATATTTTCAAACTTTAAGAATTTTCCTCCATTGCTCATTTTAAAACTCTTTTGTAATTCAATTTATTTATCTATCCACATTTAATCACTAAGTACGAGATTAGAAAAGTAGGTCAGTCACGCACTAGACTGAGATTTCGATTAAGAATCTTCCTTTCAAATGACCGAGTTGTACACATCCTTATTGTGTTTTGTATATTTATTATGGATGAAAAACTTAATTTAATTTTGTTTCCTATACTTTGAATGAAAAGCGGGTGCGGTTGCGGCAAAGTCATCATCAAGTTGTGATAGTAGCACAGATAATTATGGTACAGAATTCTTCAAGGTACGTATTCCTACAATATGATTAAGTTTTCTCAACCTGCATTGAACTTTTCTAAGTGTTAACTTGCCATCCCACAATATCAGTCAATCTGATATGCTAAAATGTCCAAAACAAACAAAATAATTTGCATACTTAGCAATAACTTATTGAAATCTAGTTTAATCGCTCTTGAATTTTATACGAATTTCCCATGGCAATATGCATGACTTGTAGTTTGAAAAAAATCTAACCACTCTCATCTCCTCTTTTGCCGCAAAACTTATTTAAATCCGGAAAACCAAAACAAAAACAGGATTGTTGTGAAGCTTGTAAAATTGGCTTGGTAATTGGCTCGACAAGCCATACATGTTCGACAGAAAATTCTCTCTTTGGCTCGCCGTGGGATGATATTATTGAGGATTGTTGCACTGATATTAGAGAAGCTGATAGTGAGGATGATCCTAACGAAAGTAATGAGAGTAAGAAATCAGTTTTATTAAATTTCACAATTTTCCAAAATTTATTTTAATTTTTATTTTTCTAATCTAGAAGACATTTGCCAACGGATCGATAATCTCTGTACACACATTTGTGTTCCAACTGATGATTCATACGTCTGCAAATGCAGAGAGGGATATAAATTACTAGAAGATAATATTACATGTGTTAAAGAAACAAATGTGATTGATGATACAACAATACCGCAAACTTTAAATAAGGTAGATAAGTAAGTAGACCAAAATCTATTAAGCTAGATATTTTGATTAACAAAGAGATACCAATCATTTGAATTCTAACCGAATTGATATGAAACAGCAATGACCAGTCAAATCAAATACTCCAAAAAAGTAGAGAAAGCCAATTTTTTGGTGGAATACATAATAAAAAAATATAATTTGAAATCATTGTCTTTTCTCCATGAAGCCATTCACTTTTCACGTAACGCGAGAAAACAAGTTTTCAGAACCCCCCTCTCCCCTTTGTAACAAAATTTGTATGAAAAAAAAAAATCTTTTGATTCGAAACCAAGTCTTAGACCATCCTCCACCCTTGAAAGCGTCATGTAATAAGTGAACAGCCCCTATGACATTGCATGATTTTCCTGTGGTGTAAATAACATTACATACACTGTGTATTACTTGATATATTGTGATTTACTATCAATTTTGGCTATCCATAGGAGTGTTTCCTAAACTTTGTTATGTGAAACGTTAAAATATTGAATAAATGAAGAAAAAGTCATGCTTGAAGCAGAGAAGAAATTTAATTTTGAACTGAAAAAAATGGGTTTTCAAAAAGTTTGAGAACCACTGATCTAATCCTAAAGGAAATTGTTTATTGATTACCTTATAAAAGGAAGAAATTGGAAGCAATCACGATTTATCTTATTTTCTGCGTAAACATAATAGATTATTTTTTGTGTTTGTTTAGTAATTTTTCTACATTTAAGTCTCAATGAAAGCTATAAGAGAGTAAAATTATATTTCTTACTCTTCGATAATTTAACTAAATTTATTAAGCACTAATGATGAGGAATGATATAAAAATTATTTCAATTATTTTTTACACACAAAATACCAGAATCCTTAATTTGTAAACAATATATCTTCTCGTATAGCTGCTCCCCTGGCATGGCATTCGATGAATCATCGGAACAATGTGAAGACATAAACGAATGTGAAACTGGAGATGCGAATTGTGATAGAGAAAGCCAAGCATGTCTCAATACAAATGGCTCGTATAAATGCTTGAACATAATTTCAAAAGTCAGCAGTTGTGAAGACGGTTATCGATATCAAGCAAGAATCGCTCAATGTGTTGGTAAATAGTGATGATTTGGCAGAAACAGTTATTATTTTTTCGTCTTTTATTTTTATTTGAAAGCTTCTGCAAAGATTAATGAGACTTAATTTTGTCTTGGAACTATTTACTTAAAGTTTTCATGCTTTTGTTCCAGTTTCATGATTCTTATTACTTTTAATATCATTTACTATAAAATAATAATTGGCAGAACTAAATTCTTATTAGATATCAACGAGTGTGCTGAAGGACTTGATGATTGTGATCGCAGAACGCAGTTGTGCTTAAACATTCCTGGAAGTTTCAAATGTCAAGACAAAGTAGTTGACACATGCTTGCCTGGTTTAAAATATGATTTGGAAACAAAATTATGCGAAGGTGCTTTACTAGCTTTTGCTTTGTTTTATGTTCACGACATAAATTGTTGAAAAGCTGTTCAAAACTAAAACCAACATTATTTAATCCTTTAAATAGATGTAAACGAATGTCTGGATCCTGATTCATGTGATAATGGATATAAATGTTTAAACACAGTTGGATCGTTTGAATGCGTCGCAGTGACTACTCAGCGTAATAAGTATGATAAATTAGAGTTTATTTCATAATTCGTTGAAATTTCTACTTCCCTTAATTCTAACCTGTCTAAATTTCAATACAAGATTTCAGTCAAATCTAATTTAAACTTAATTTTATTTATCTTGTAAACCTTTCAAAAACCGATTTAAAGCTTGTCATTTTATGAATATACTCTTCATCATCTCTACAATGTTTCATCTAATATCTTCCAGCAATAAACGTGAAAACGTGGATAAAAATGAAAAATTTCCCATTTCACCCTGTGAAACATATTTCATTTGATTTGAACGTTTTGGAATCACTACGTATAAAAAAATATAAAATACCGTGATTTAATACGTACATCTTTTAAGATTTTATTCTCTGTAATCTTTCAGGCCATTTAGAATTCCAAAATGTGCTCGCGGTTATCATCTACAAGGAGATCAATGTGTTGGTAAGCTAAGAAAAATCTTTAGGGATTTAAAGAATAAATTTTCACAATGCAATGTCATCAAAAACTCATTTTGAGCTTTGCTTTCTTAATCAAACAGATATTGACGAATGTGCTTACGATAGGGAAGCGTGCGATGCAAATCAAATATGCATCAATCTACCTGGTGCTTTTCAATGTGACTGTAAAGTTGGCTTTGTTCTTGATCCTCTCACAAATGCTTGCGAAGACATCAACGAATGTCAAATCAATTTACATGATTGTCTAGAAACGCAACGTTGTGATAATACTATTGGAAGTTATCGCTGTATAAGAACTCAAAGTTGCGGTACAGGATACACATTCAATGCTGAAACATTGCAATGTGACGGTAAATGGCAGAATAGAAAGCGTGATTGAGAGATTAACGAAAATGAACTTTTTTCCTTTTTTTACAGATGACGATGAATGCACGCTTAATCGGCACAACTGCTATGATCCATATGAATGTCATAATACAAAAGGTAAATGATTGCATTTTGATTTGACGACTTCAAAAATAAGATTTTTTTTTGTTGGCATTTTGAATTTAATTTTATTTCTGAAAAATCATATGCCTGCAATACACAATCCTTTTGGACTAATACTTTGACCTGAGAATATGAAACAGTTTTTTCAATTGCAATCAGCATTTTATGAACTCATTCGGAAAGCTGTTGATGAACAATATTAACTGACTGTTTGTGCTTAATTTTCAATTTTGATTAATAGCTTATTTATTTAAGTTTAGTTTTGAATAACATCAGTATTTGGGTTCATTTGTTCTGAAAATTTTGAAAAGGAATTCAATATTTTTTAAGAGTTGCTAAATTTATTTGAAATTTTTTTTTAATTTTTCGAAAATGAATAGGAAGTTTTAGATGCATACGAAAAACTACCACCACGTCTACAACAACAACGACAACAACTAGAAAGCCTGAAATCCGTTATACAACTACACCACAGCCACATTGTCCTAATGGATTTGAAAGGAATTATCTTGGTGCATGCATAGGTGAGTTATAATTATTTCCTAGAACTTGATGCTACAAACTATTCACTTGCATCAAAATCATGCAAATTCTTTGCGGATATAATTTGGATATAATTGATCCGCATCAATATATTTTACAAATTTCATTCACAAATCTTCAATACCGCAAACTTTTCGTGCCTTTTACGTTGATGATAATTAGAAGAAGACAAATCACCGTCGCAAAGGCCCAAAAAGTTTTCTCATTTTCCTCCACTTATTAAATGATTTTTAAGTGAATTATACAATTTTTGTCTTATTTCTTTTTTTAATACATTCATGCTTCCGGGGATTTTGTGACTCATTTATTCCACTTTTATGACTTGAAAAAAAATTAGCGAAAGTTTAAAAGTTCTGCCTCCTTTCAACTTTTTCAATTCCATTTAAATGCATATTTTTTAAGCTCTTTCTTAAATTTTATTTTCAAAGACATTAATGAATGTGAAGTAAGAAATCCATGCTCTCGCTCTCAAAAATGCATAAACACAAATGGTGGATATAGATGCATCAACTCCTTAACATGTCAAAATGGATATGAGTTAAATGCGGAAGGCACACAATGTATTGACGTTGATGAATGTGCAACACGTGAGGCAAATTGTGGACCACAACAGACATGCAAGAATAAGCCTGGTGGTTACGTATGTTTATGTCCTTCTGGATTTGTATCGACAAATAATAGAAATTGTGAAGATATTAATGAATGCGAATTCTACAAAGATCGTCGTCCATGTCCATCAAATGCTGACTGCGTTAATAGGTGAATTTGAGTAAATTTTTCATATCCGAAAATTATTAATGGTTCTTTTGTTAAATATAGCATTGGAAGTTATCATTGCCATTGCAAAGCAGGATTTAAAAATGAGGTCAATGACGATAGAAAATGTGTAGATGTCGACGAATGCACAGAATATCCAGGATTGTGCCAACATCGTTGCATAAATTATTGGGGCTCTTACAAGTAAATGCAAAAAATATATCTGACTATCATCTTATTTTCCTGCTCTTTCTTTTTCACTGTTTTACCATAATTTTGCTTACAATTTCCTTATAGGTGCGGATGTGAAGCTGGTTTTAAGTTGAGTGCAAACAATCGTACATGTGATGACGTTGATGAATGTGAGCAACACAAGAGCTATCGATTATGTGTGGGTATTTGTGAAAATATTCCGGGTAGTTATCGATGTGGATGTCCGGATGGTTACCGTATTGGCACCGATTCAAGATCATGTGAAGGTATTTTATCAGTCTATAATTGTTAACTAGTTTTGTGGAAGTTCCAATTGCTTAATTTATTGTTTTACAGACATTGATGAATGCAAAGAAACGCCTGGAATATGCCGATCAGTCGACGAAATCTGTACAAATCTTCGAGGAAGTCATCGCTGTATTCCCATACAATGTCCTTACGGTTACATGAGGGATCCAGACCGAACAAAGTAAGCATAAAATTAAGTTTAAAAATTTTTCTAATATTAATTTTCAACAGTCGATGCAAGCGAATAAGCATGTTATGTGACCACGATGATTATGAATGCTTTAGGAAGCCTACATCTTATTCATACAATTTTATTTCAATGGTCCCAAACATGACAGTTCCAGTAGCTGGAACAGGATTATTTAATTTACAAACTACTGTCTGGTCACAAAATCTCGAATTTGATTTGAAAATTGACAGCATTTATTCACCGCCTGGTGTTCAAAGAGTGACTGACCATTACTTCAGGTAACATCATCGATTTACATTTTTATTTGAAATATTTTTTATTTTTTTTTTACAGCTTAAGAAAGGTGCCACAGGGTGTTACTTTATTGCTGTTACGGCCCCTCGATGGTCCACAAGATATAGAGCTTGAACTTACAATGAATGTTTTTACTCAAGATCGAACACCTTCTGGCTCAAGCGTTGCCAAAATCTTTATTCTTGTTTCAGAATATCCATTTTAGTCTGATTAAGAGTTTTACGCTTTTTTTTTGTGTGCCATAATTTGTGAAATCTTTTTATTCGCTAATTCCAAGCAAAAGCATGAGTCTTTATGATAAGCAGGACAGAAATCTGTATACATCATTTTAAGAGATAAAAAATAAAGACTTGAATAAATAAATAATCGGATTTGTCATGTTCTTTTATTTATCATATATGCATATTGTGTAAATTATTCATATGATCCTTTCAGATGTCTTACGAAAAAAACAAAAATTTAATCTGTCTTATGAGGAAAATTTTAGCTGTGAGTATTTGTGTCAAAAGAATGTTTAAAGGGATAAGAAGTATTTATATCAAGATTTGGAGGAACTAGATTTTCACATATAAATATGTTGACACTTAATTTTAAGTATTAAGTCCCTTGATATATTGAATTTCTAGAGATAGGCAAGATTATACATTCAAGCACTTGAGAACCCAGTTTCGTCTACTAGACATTCAAATAAAATTTCATTGGATAAAAAATCATAAAACCTCAAAAACAAATGAACTTAAAGTATTGTAAATCTTTTAAGCAAATTCATGAATTAACTGTAAAGATGTGTATACATCTTTACTGACTCGTTTGTTAACCTTTTATAAAATTATCATCCATATCGTACAGCATCTTATAAGATGACTAAATAGTTGTTCAAATATTTTAATTAATTAAGGCAAAATCTTGTTTCACATTTAATCAACTTAACCTTTTTAGATAAATTTATGAAGGAAATCTACTGACATGCAGAAAATTTAAACCCATGAATTTCAAAGGTTGAATCCATAAAAGATAATAAATTTTAGAAATATGGATACATCAAGAGCCAATAAAGATTTATTCTGCGAAATTCATGGATAAACATGAGAATTAAGGAACTTACAAATTTATTCAACGAGAAGAAAAATTTAGATCCGATTTTAGATTTTATTAAAAGAAATAAACTTGATGACGTTAGACCTTAACTATGATCAAAGGTAATTTTTATCTTTAAATTTCATTTTTCTAAGTTTCTGCACAAAAAAGAAGCTTATAAAAGAAAAGCTGAAAGAAACCAAAAACCATTAGTTGGATATAAAAGTAAAAGAAAGAAAACAACCCGAAAATTGACAAATCTCAAAAAAGCATTTGGAATCAATGGTCCAATTCGATGCCAATTATTCTCAACTAAGAAGAAATATTGTCCACATTATTCTTTTGTCAATGAACGAAGGAACATTAAAAGCTTGTAAATCATTTTTAAATTCCCTTTCTTTTCTCCACTTTTGTTCTTCTTATACTTCATTTCTACTTATTTTTTTCTCACATTTTCGCATAAACATCAAATTCAAGACCAGAACCATCTCATCCGCCTTCTTCGCATAAATTTTCATTCCTCTTCATTTCTATAGAAATTGGAGGAAAAAAAGAAAAATGCGAAACAAAATGCGAAATGGTCCTTTTTTACGAATGATGTATTGTGTCGGCTATTATCTCATTTCTATTTCCATAAATTTGCTCTTTTTCTTCACTTTACAAATGACAATTTATAGAAAAATGAAGAATGAAGCTAGCAAAACAATGTCTGGACAATGATGAAAATAAAATGGAAATTGAAAGTCAGTAATTTTTTGAAATCATCTTTAATGTATGAGAATTTGAGCTGGATGATGCACCCATAGCCAATGTTTTAAATATTTTGAAATAAGGTTCATGCTACTGATCAACGAACACGAAGGTTGAATTTAGTAAACTCTCTGAACTTGTGTAAAGTTCTGTATAATTCTTGAATATCTATATACGCGTTATTCTTGTCATCATACCTTGTAATAAGTTGCTATGAATTAAAGGTCCATAGAATCTAGAACTAGAAATGTTGAAAATGCTTTAATTAGCCTTGTTAATTAAATTTGCTTCAAAACTTAATATGATCTGAACCTTATGTAAAAGATTTGTAAAGTACAGCAAGAAAGATTTGATAAATGCAAACTTTTGGAATTATTTGCATATTGACTCGAATATTATTGAGAAGTAAATACTGATCGCTGTTCAAAAAATGCACTGAAGTCATTTGATAAATTTCATCCAATTTCATTTTGATTTAGACAATGTATTATGATGCTTTACATTCTATTCAATGTTAAAATTGGATTCTGAGAAAATTGGATTGGTATCCGTATACTAAAATAATTTTTCTCCAAGCTGAGCCTTATGCTACAATTTAAATTGAGTTCATTTTCATTTCAATTCACAAAAGTTCAAAATTAGAAAATTTAAACGAAAAACATTAACAAGGTAATCTTTGAAAATTGAAAATTTCTAAGTTTTTGCGTATTTTTTAAATATTCAACAATGAAGTGAATACGAGGCACCAAATCATTTTAAGGAAAGCAGATGAAGAAGTTTAGATTAGCCAATTGAATGCAAATTCAAGTACAATAAGATGCGTATATAGAAAAGATGCATCATAAAGATATAAAAGTAAGCATTAAATTCTACGTGTTCATAATCAAATAAAGTTTAGTTGAAGCTTTTAACTAGTTGGAACTGATTTAATTAATTCATTATTCTCATTATTCGCTTAATTGTTTTAAATCTATTTTAGTTCAAATAACTTTTATCTGGAATTCGAGATTTATTTCTTACCTGATGATCTGTTGGACTTTTCGGAAGAACTGATGAACCTGCATATTATTCAGACAGAACATCTTCGTTGATCATCGTCTTCTCTTTTTTGGAATCAGTGAGTGTAAAATATAACTTATCATGTTTTAAACTTATTCACAAAGTCCTGATCGATCAAATCTTTATGATTGTTTTATGACTCCTTTCTTGCAATTGGTTCTCTTTATATATTTGATTCGAAAGTCTCTTGTTGACAATCTTTACACGTTGTTGGGATTCCTTGCTTGATTGATAGATTTTCATTTCTTTCTGCTGCTTCTTCATCAGTTTGTTGACATAGGCACCTATACCTTCTTGAGTATCTTACATCATATCTTTGTCTCACAAATTCCTCAAAAGTTCTTGCTGTAAAATAGGAAATAGGAAGTGTGATGGTTTAAAACATTTAGAGTCTATGTATATTCCAGATAAGTCGTCTGTCGCAATGAAAGAGTATTGCATAAGCTTTTTAGTCTCCATCCATAATTGATATATTCTTATTGATTCGTCCATGGTGATGTTTTCTAAACTTCACTAGCAACTTCTTTCTATTCATTTTTTAAGCCTGGAATAGATGATGAATGTGGTGAACTTATGTTCTTATTTAATTCTGTATATAATTCTCATATAATTCTCGTGTAGCTGGTCTAGTAACAATTGAGTATTTCTTTCATTTTCTGGCTCGAGTTGTTGTTACTTAAAGTCATAAGTTATGTTTTGTGAAATTAGCTGTGATTACAATATCCCTTACTTTAAGCTTTTTCAATTTCGTGAATCATTTTTCGCGATGTAATAGTTCATTAATATATCAATATATGTAAAGTTCGTAAAGAAACATCGAGTTGCGCGTGTTGTTGATTGTGCAACCTCTGTTTTTATTGTTCATAAATAAAATTGATTCAAATTTAGGTTCGTAGTCGGCAGCTTGTTAATCTGTTGAGAGTGACTTCCATTGGTATTTTTAAGATAATTCTCTTATCGTTTTTAATCAGTTTGCCAAATAGAAAGTTTCTCTTTTAGCATCTTGCTTAATCTGATCTGAGGGCCATCTAAAATCTCAAGAGATCATAAACTTAACTTAACTTAACCTTAATGATCCTTTTCTGCTCGGAACTTTTGCTCCACTGATTTCTTTCTTATTGAGGTTTCATCGCTAATACAGTTAATAATTAAATAAAACCAATAGAAATTCTCCTGAACTCATGAGATCAAATTTATCAAAATGAGTACAGTAAGAAAAATTGTCTGCTATTTTTGTTAAATATGGAGAAATTATATGTTTAAATATCATTCCACCAATAGGCTATGCCTCCATTGTTTTAAATCGTCATCAAGATACGTTAATGGGGTTTAATCTTGGAACGGTAGCAAATCAACAAGCATCATCAAACTACAATGGATGAGATCATATCGATAGAAATGCAGGAGCAGCATCCAACAAAATCAAATGATGCTGCAACAAAACTTCAACAATTTCATCATAATGCAAGGATATACAAGAGAAAAGAAACGTGACAAGTAACGCAAAATTAAAAAAGAAAGAAGTCGAATAGGATTACTGGTTATGAAGAAGTAGGATGCATTAGTATGCGGTTTAGTACAGTAAGTGGAATTGCCAGTTACATTTAATAAATAGTTTTAACTGAAATAATCCCAATAATAGGTTGTATCATCATCATCGGTCAGGAAATAAGCTACGTGAGAAGCAACGCGAAATTGATTAAGGAAGATGTCGAATAGGATTACTGGATATGAAGATGGAAATTTTATCGGGATGCAGTCTTCATTTTAAATACTTCCATGAATGATAGTGAATCTGTATGCATAATTTGATGTTACAAAGTATGAAAAGGCATCGCTGAGCTGCAATTTGAAGATGTCTTGAGTCATCGAGATCCTCAGCATCAAAATAATTTTTTAAAACTTTCTTTTTCAGCATTTTTATGAATTTAAAAGGAAAAATTGTCCTACCGTCCTGCTCGATTTTTTTTTGGGACCTAGATACTTACATTTTAATGAAAAAAATATGAAAAAGAAAGTATCTGGTCTTAATTGGGCGAAAAAAGCACCACAAGCAACATGGATGCAGTTCAACTTTATGGGTTAAAAAATCATGAAAATTGGTACATCATGTGTTCTAAATTTGGGAAATATTTCAATTAATATGATTCAACCAAAAGATTGTGCCAAAATCGTTATGAATCATCGTCAAAGAACTTATAATTGTGTTTTATCTTCGAACGGTAGCAAATCACTAATTCACTCATGGTGCAAGCAAATCAATCAGCATCGAATGTCATCATCATTGTTCATTGGAGAAGGAACGTGAGAAGCCGAACA